GCTTGGTGGGTGTGGCTTGGTGGGCATGGCAGGGAAAAGATACTGTGAAATCTCCATTCCCTCCCCACTCCTGGGGGAAGGATATTGCAAAATCTCCGTTCCCACCCCACTCTGGGGCCAGCCAGAGGTGGCATTTGCCGGTTCTCTGAACTACTCACAATTTCCGCTACCGGTTCTCCAGAACCTGCTGGATTTCACCCCAATGTCCACCCTATCTGATGTGATAAATTGGGTGGATATTAAGGAAAAGTGATCCTAGAAATAGCCAGGTCATGTACCATGTAAGATGATAAATTGTCAAGAGTATATTCATGAACTGGAATAGGGCATAGCAACAAGTCAGCCAATGAGGGCTGTTTGGTAACTGAAACATAGTATTTGTTGTATGGGACCTTAAGAGACAGTTTAGAGCCTGGGTGTGGCTTAACTGTTCTGTATATAGGCTTGAGGGCACCCTCTTTCATTTTGCCTTCTCTATTTTGTGCTTCCATTTTGTGCCGTGTTTGTACTTGCTGTTTCTCTTCTCTACAACGTGGAAAAACCTACAAGGATATTGTATGTCTTATGTGTTGTTATGTATATAAAGTTATTTTGAATCCTACTGAATTGTCTGATGATTCTGTAGGAGAAGAGCAGTCAGAGCTGGAAGGCAGAGTTAAGTGAGTCATCAGCTTAGAGTCGTTAACGTTCCCACAAATGGTCTGGTTCACGGGTGTCAAACTCGATCGTGTCATGTGACGTATCATGACATATCACACATTTTTTTGCTTTTGCAGAGCCAGGGTGGGCGTGGCCTACGCGTGACGCATCTGGCCCACGGCCCACCATTTTGGCAGGCCTGGTCTAAGTCCAACTCCTCTTGAATTCCATAGGGCAAAAAGCTCTTCCAAGTTACAACCAATTTAATCCAGAGAATTACAGATCTTTCCAGAACTAAAATTGGAGATTCTTGCATAGTTTTCCTGTCCCCATTGAAACCCGTAAAGATGTACGCAAACCTTTCTGCTATGACACGAAAAACAAACCTTTCTGCTATGACACGAAAAACAAATCATATTTTGGTTTAAAAAAAAAAAGATTGAGTTTACTGCAATAACGTGGCTTCTGCCTGTCACTTTAGGATGCTGGATTGGACTGACGCAGTTCATTTGTATCCATATAGTTTACCAGTGTGCTTAAAAATAGATTGCAAAGTACGGTAATCGTAGAAAGTCCCATTCTATGGCTCACCAGTCACAATTACTGGCTGGCACTCACTCTGCTGTCGTTCCCAAGTGGAGCAATTAACGTGCAGCTTGCAGGTGAAATGATTACTTTGAGAAGACCCCATGGAAGTTGACGATTTCTGAACATGCACATCGTTTAATTAAATGCACAAGTACCGACCTGTTCCCCGAAGAATGTTAATATCCAAACCTCCTCTCGATTCATTATTTCTAGAAGAGCATTTGATTGCTCTTTCCTTGATGGATGCAGCCGGTATATTAAGCTACCTTCCGAAGGTCTTCGGATTGATTCCAAGCATATGTTCCTTCAGATGTATTAAAATCCGACAACTTTATAAGAGGCTGGAAGCCGTTGGTGAACTTTCGACGTGTTAAGTACAATAACAGATGGTTAACAGAGGGATCTGAAGGTATAGTGCCATGATGGCGAACCTATAGCACGCATGCCGAAAGTAGCATACAGAACCATCTCTCCAGGCATGCCAGCCATCGCCCGTTGCTCTTCCGGGTTCCAGTGCGCTTGTGCGCACCTGCCAGCTAGTCTTTGCGCACGTGGGAGAGCTGAAAACCGGAAAAGCATATCCCTGGTGGGCATGCTCCTACCAGGAAGCTGATCATCTGGTCTTCCGGTTTCTGGTGCGCATGCGTGTACAAAGACCAGTTCACCAGCGCGCATGTGCGTGCAGGGAACCAGAAGCTCAGCTTCCCAGTGTGCACATGCCCGCCAGGGATCTGCTCTTCCGGTTTCCGGCATTCCCACGCATGCGCACCGGCCATCTTCCGGTTTCTGGTGCTTTCCCCCCCCACGTGCATGCGCTCCCATTTCAGCACTCGGTGCCAAAAAGTTTCGCCAACACTGGTATAGTGTAATGTTTGGGCTAACCTGTTGACTTTCTTTCTTTTTTAACATATATATTATGATTCGATGTTGGGTCAATTTGATTATTAGACAGACTTTAAATAAATAAGCAATAATAAACAAACTATATTAAATAGACTAATATTCCTCATCTGGAATATTGGTTTATTTAATATAGTATTTTTGTTTAAAAAGCTTATAACCATTCTTCATAAATTCTTTTTCATCCTCGTAGGTTATTGTGCACAGATTATCTTAATAATTCAGTTGTGTTGTAGTACGTAAGACGTATAGTAAGTCTTCAACCCTTCTTCTTGCAATAAGCTTATTGGAAAGCTTATAATTATTTGGAGACCCATTATGTAAGGGGAGAGGAATCTATCTATTTTCTTTTAATTTATTTTTAAGTTTCCAGCCAGGATGGATTGTTTATGTTTAATGTTAGATCTATTGATATTTGGTTTTTCCCCCCTTACACAAGAATTTTTTTTCTCTTGGTTAGTGTTGGATGTTCATTTTCCTGTTTTCCTGTTTTGTATTTTATTCTTGTTGATAGAAGAAAATAAATCAGATGTATTAAAATTCTAGCTGTGAAAACAGCAGGACACGGGTGCTTGGGAGAATTATTGGTTGGAGACTTAAGGTCTACAATGCAACTGAATTATATAGATAATCTGTGCATAATAATCTACAGGAATGAAAAAGAACGTTTGAAAAAATATTTTTCGGAAAAGTCACTATGGAAGGATATTTGTTTTTCTGTTGGCCCAAGTCACTTCCTTTAAAATATTAAAGAACTGGTTTCTGAAGCAGATTATGTCTTTTTTTTTCAAGGATTTGCTATTAGAATAGCAGTTATAGTATAAAGAAGAAAAGTAAAACATGTAGAAAAAACGAGATATACAAAAATGATCCCCATGTCAGTTAATACTTAGTTGGGTAACCTTTAGCATGAATGATGGCCTTACAACGTCTTCCCATGGAGGGAACCAAGTCTTTTAGTTCTGCAGCTGTTATCATGTGGAACCAAGATTGAATGATGGCTTCTGTTAACTGGGTTTTATTGCTGGGTCGCTTCTGACTAACCAGTTTCTTTAGTCGGCTCCATAGAGTTTCAATTGGGTGAAGGTCTGGGCTATTCCCAGGCCATTCCAGCAGTGGAATAGGATTATCTTGAGAGTCCCCCCAAAAATGGTGTTATCAGCCATCAAACCTCAAAAATACACTTTATCCAAAAGCTTTCCACAATTTTGGCCACTACTGTACATTCTTTCCCCTAGATCTGCAATCTTTCTCCTAAGGATTAATTAAAAACCTTCTCTACCACATTTTTAAATCAGGTCAGAGGATAACAATATTAGTTTTCTCTTCATAAACCACAGTTTAATAATAGCAGAAGGCAGAAGCCGAGTTTAGTCTAGATTTCTATTTCCATTCATCATAGAAACCAGTGGCAGGTTTCAAATTTTTTTACTACAGGTTCTGTAGGTGTGGCTTGGTGGGCGTGGCTTGGTGGGTATGGCTTGATGGACGTGGCAGGGGAAGGATACTGCAAAATCTCCATTCCCTCCCACACTCCAGGGGAAAATTACTGCAAAATCCCCATTTCCTCCTGATCAGCTGAGACTTGGGAGGCAGAGAATAGATGGGGGTGGGGCCAGTCAGCATTTTTACTACCGGTTCTCCGAACTACTCCAAATTTCCGCTACCAGTTCTCCAGAACTGGTCAGAACCTGCTGAAACCCACCTCTGATAGAAACCCATCTTAATTGTGGGCTAGTTTTTAGATCCACAACCTCTGATTAACACTGCCCAAACAAGCTGAGCCTGTGAACTGACAATGTAAGATGATTTTTCTTCTTCTTCTTCTTTTGATTAATTTCTTCCACTGGTTTAAGTTGTTTAATGATAGGGCATCAGTGGTGGGTTCCTCCCGGTTCGGTCCGGTTTGGCCGAGCCGGTAGCGGTGCCGATATGACGTCACCAAACCGGTTCTCCCCTCCACCGCCCTCCCCCCCCCACCGCCCCACGTTATTCTTACCTTTTATTTGGTCCCACCCCCAATCTATTGCTGCCTCCTGAGTCCCAGCTGATGACTAGAGGGAAAAAACCTGTTTAAACTCTTGCCGCGGGGCTTCCAAGGGCCGCCCTACAGCTGATCAGTGTTAAAAGCAAACAAATGAGTCGGGTCGTAAGTGCGAGGACTGGTCGTAAGTGCGAGGACCTTCCAGAAATGACTCTGACCAGCTAGCCACGCCCACCTAGTCACATGACCTCCAAGCCACACCCACAAAATAAGCCACGCCCACAGAACCGGTAGTAAAAAAAATTAGAACCCACCCCTGTAGGGCATGTTTATAGTAGCAAGAAAAAGGAGTCCCCAAATCGCTTTTTCAAAAAGAACTGGACTTCCTTTGCTTTTTCCTTGAAGACCTTTCGCTTCTCAGCCAAGAAGCTTCTTCAGTTCTGACTCAATGAGTAGAGGATGGAAAGATTTATATTCGTTGCAGTCATCTGGTCATTAGCACTCTCTCTGAGAGTCATTGAGGCCACCTGGAGGTTTATCTGTGTCCTCAGGGTCACCTGAGTAGTGCAAATGGGTGTGGAGCCTTCTTGGAACTACTGAAAGAACTGTGTTGTAGACCGTAGATAGATGATGTTGTATCCCTCCCCCTCCATTGAGAGAGAGTTGTTCAATTTTGACAAAGATGGCCTCTTTGACCCTTCTTTCAAACCAGCCGTTCTCTCTGTCTAAAATGGGGACTTTGCTGTCTTCAAAAGAGTGGCCTTTGTCTTTCAAATGCAGACGGACTGCTGAATCTTGTCCTGGTGGGTTTGTCCTCCTATGTTGTGTCGTGCGTTTGTTGAAGCTACTCCATAAATGACCAGTTTACCTCTTTCCCTCTTCTTTTCAGTTTTACCGGAGATTCCAAGTTAGCTTCTAGTATGCGCTACGTAGAAACACAGTCTATGCAAATTGGAGCGTCGTATATGATTCAGTTCAACTTGGTGATGGGCTGTGGCCAGCAGTACACGCCCCACATGGACAATCAGGTGAAACTGGAATACTCCACTAATCATGGCCTTACTTGGCATCTGGTTCAAGAGGTAAGTCTGATTAAGGGAGATATTTCTTCACAGAGAACATATGTGAAATCTGTCTGTCTGTCTGTCTGTCTGTCTATCATCTATATCATCTATCTATCTGTCTATCATGTATATCATTTATATCACCTATCTATCTATCTATCTATCTATCTATCTATCTATCTATCTATCTATCTATCTGTCTGTGTATCTATCATCTATCTCTATAATCAATCAATCTATATCATCTATATCATTTATCTCTCATCTATCTATATCATCTATCTTCTATCATTTATCTATATCTTTCTATCTATCTAATCTATATCATCTTATTTATATCATTTATCTATCATCTATATAATTTATCTATCTTTTATATCTATATCATTTATATCGATCGATCAATCAATCGATGGATCGATCTATCATCTATTTCTATTATCTATATCATCTATATCGATCTATCTATCATCTATTTCTATCGTCTATATCTCTATCATTTATCTCTATCATCTATCTATCTAATCTATATCATCTATCTAATTTATCTCTATCATCCATTTATATCTATCTATTTGTCTATCTATCTATCTATCATCTATATCTATATCATTTATATCGATCGATCGATCATCTATTTCTATCATCTATTTCTCTTTATCATCTATATCATCTATATTGATCTATCTATCATCTATTTCTATCATCTATATCATCTATCGTCTATATCTCTATCATTTATCTCTATCATCTATCTGTCTGTGTATCTTTTTTTTTTTTAATTTGATTTATATGCCGCCCTTCTCTGGGCGGCTTACAATGCGTTAAGCAATGTATCTATCATCTATCAAGTATCTATCATCTATCTCTCTCATCTATCTATTATCTAATCTATATCATCTATCTAATTTATCTCTATCATCATTTATAACTATCTATCTATCTGTCTTTCTATCATCTATATCATTTATATCTATCATCTATCTATCATCTATATCATTTATATCTATCTTCTATATTTATTTCATTTATCTCTCATCTATCTGTCATCTATCTCATCTATCTGTCTGTTTGTCTGTCTGTCTATCTATCATCTATCATGCAATAGTGGAATAATAGATAAAGCTGCATAACCAAAGTTTCACAAATTCATTTTCAGTCAAAAATAGAAACTAATGGGGGAATTGTGACAACTGTAGAAAGTGATTTAGCCAGAAGTCAACATACATTTACAGGTTTAGCTCACATGTAAGATTAAATCATGATTATGTGCGGATATCTTTTCAAGCTTCTGATTGAAGAGAACCTTCTTGAATTGTGGTTATAAACAAATTAGAACTGTACATTTCTTATTTAGTGCTAACTCTTGTTTATTATTGTCCCCAAAAATGGCACATTATAATGTCTATATTTTTGAACAAATAAGTTTTATTGATGGCTTAGAGATACCATAGCGCCCAAATTATCTTGTTACAATTATGTATTTGGTTGATCAACATATATATCATTTCCCCTGCACATTTTTCAATATTTCAACTTCATTATATTTTCATAAATAAGAAACAGGTTTGCTTTGACCCCCAAATCATGGAATCTGAAATATAAAATGTTTGTACCCTGTTTCCCCGAAAATAAGACCCAACTGGAAAATAAGTCCTAGCATGACCCCCCTCCTGCGCGAGCTGCACTGGCTCCCGGTGGTCTTCCGGGTGCGCTTCAAGGTTTTGGTTACCACCTTTAGAGCGCTCCATGGCATCGGACCGGGGTATTTACGAGACCGCCTTCTGCTACCAATAGCCTCTCACCGACCAGTACGCTCCCATAGAGAGGGGCTCCTCAGGGTGCCGTCGGCCAAACAGTGTCGACTGGCGGCCCCCAGGGGGAGAGCCTTCTCTGTGGGGGCACCTACCATCTGGAACGAGCTCCCCCCAGAGATACGGAAGATCCCGGACCTGCGCACGTTTCGCCGTGCTCTCAAAACTTTTCTATTTCAGCAAGCTGGCCTGGCCTAACTCCCATTTTTTAAATTTTTTAAATTTTTTAATTTGTGATTTTATAAATTGGGTGTTTTAATCTGTGTTTCGGCCGAAATATTTAATAATTTTAAGGGATTTTTTAATATTTGTATTATCTGTATTTTATCTTGGCTGTTCACCGCCCTGAGTCCTTCGGGAGTAGGGCAGTATAGAAATTTGATTAATAAATAATAATAATAATAAATAAAATAAATGATTTTTTAGGATGCTGGTAATATAAACCCTATCCCCAAAATAAGCCCCAGTTAAGATTGTCAGCCAGATGGGTGCATTTAGTACCGTATTTGCCCAAATATAAGACCTAACCAGAAAATAAGCCCTAATGCGTCTTTTGGAGCAAAAATTAATATAAGACCTGGTCTTATTTTCGGGAAAACACGGTAAATAATACTGAAGTTAGCAGTGCTTGCACAAAATAATGTTGCTTCAATGCCTGGTCAAATGTTTTATTTGTACACCAGGGAATTAAACAATACTGCAGTTCATTATAATATCTTCATATTAATTTTCATGTATTTGTGTTTGTATGTTTCCTTAAGGAATGCCTTCCAAGCATGCCCAGTTGCCAAGAATTTACTCCAGCAAGTATCTACCACTCCAGTGAATATACAAAGTGGAGAAGAATCACAGTCCTTTTACCCCAGAAAACATGGTAATAGTGTAACTACTTAGGTTTTTGTACGTACGTGGAGATATAGTTGTGTTTCAAGCTTGAATGCATATTACTTAGCAAACATATTGTTTGAAGCTAAAATAATTCCTTTTTTTTTTCTTGGTACAGTCACTTGAATGCATCTCTTCCTTCTTATTTTTCTTCTGTTTTTTTTTTCCTTCAAATGATGCCAACATTTTATGAGATATGCCCAGGATGAAAAGAAAAATTGAATAATTCTGGCAGCTAAGCCAAAACTTTGGAAAGTTTTCGGGGTCTTTATCAATCATAGCTATTTCCAGCAGACATTGATAGGGATCAGAATTTAAATTCACCTGGCCCTCTTCCCTTTTTCCTTTCTTTTGTGAAGGACTAAATGAATTCACAAAAGAAATCCGACCTTAATGTGAGTGGATTTTGGAACCTCGAAAGATCTTGCAAGTTCGGGGAGATCCCATCTTTAAGTAATGCATGTGCTTCAAATTCAGCTGGGATCCAAACCCCAAAAGCTCTTTTTCAAAAGGCAACTGGACTTTCTTTGAAGACGTTTCGCTTCTCATCCAAGAAGCTTCTTCAGTTCTGAATGAATGGTGGAGAATGGAAGGTTCCACATCAGTGGTGAAATCCAATTTTTCTTTATTACCAGTTCTGTGGGCGTGGCTTGGTCGGCGTGGCAGGGGAAGGATACTGCAAAATCTTCATTCCTACCCCACTCCAGGGGAAGGATATTGCAAAATCTCCATTCCCACCCCACTCTGGGGCCAGCCAGAAGTGGTATTTGCCTGTTCTCCGAACTGCTCAAAATTTCCACCACCGGTTCTCCAGAACCTGACAGAACCTGCTGGATTTCACCCCTGTTCCACACCCATTTGCACCATTCAAGTGACCCCCCCCCCCCCCCGTGGGCCCAGATAAACTTCCAAGTGGCCTCAATGACTCCCAGAAAGAGGGCTAAAGACCAGAGGACTGCAAAGAATATAAATCCTTCGGTCAGAACTGAAGAAGCTTCTTGGATGAGAAGCGAAACATCTTCAAGGAAAAAAACAAAGTCCAGTTGCCTTTTGAAGAAGCACCTTTGGGACAACCGTGACCTGGATGACTGAGAATCCCCATAGACATTTGGGATCCCGATCTTTCTCCATCCTCCTTTCCCTGCACCCCAAGAGTTCAGATCAGTGGCTACTGGCTCGCACCGGTTCGCATGAACCGGTAGTAAAAAAGAAGCTACAGGTTCCTCCGAACGGGTGTTTCCGATGATGTTGTGGCCCGCCAGCGGCCTGCACGGATTGTGGCTGAACCCGATGAGGAGGAGGCTGGTGTGGTGTCAGGCCAGCAGCCTGTGCAGCCGGCGCTCAAGTCGGTCAGCGAGGAGGCTGAAGAAGATGTGGTGCCAGAGGCAGACATTCAGCCAGGGCCTCCAGAGGCTCCTTCAAGTGAAGAGAGTGAAGTGGAGGAGCCTCTTCTCAATGCACGAGCACGCAGGGCTGCCAAAAGGCAGGAGTGGCTACTCAGGAGGAGGAGATCTCCTCGAGTGTAAGGCTTGGGGCTAATTGGCCACTCCCTTAGCCTATTTAAGTTTGCACACAGCTGGCAAACGTTGCAGGAAACAACGCATGTTTGTCCGGTCGCATTTGAGAGTGAAGTTTCCTTTCAAACCTAGTTTCTGGGCTAATTGCCAACTCTTGTAAGCCTTTATCTAATCTTTGGAATTCCTGGCAGGCTGTTAAGGACATTTTTAGTAATAGCCTGCATTTGAAAAAAAGACTGTTTGTAGTAAACAAAGTTGTTCGGAGTTTTGTGTGTGCTACATTTCTTGGGTTCCATAGCTGGGGCAGAAGAGATGATCAGCTATGCCGCACGGTTTAAAATCGCTAGGAAGCAGGAAATCCTGCTTTTTTTTTCCCCCAGTGCAAAGCGCGTGTTTGACGCATATTGCGCATGTGTGGCCAGCAAACCGGTGTCAAACCAGTTCAGATTTCACCACCGGTTCAGATGTCCTTGTCACGAATTGTCATCAATACCTTGTTAGTTTTTCAGCAACATATGTACCTGCAGGACATCTGAGCCAAACGAGATTGCTGGACTGTCCTTTTTATGACCGGAATCTGCCATATTAGAAAATATATGGCATTTGATAACTTGTCCTGGAACGTATCAGCCACATGCACCTGTTTTCTGGACTTTATTGTACATGACTTATATGTTTCTGACGCTGATGGAAATTAATTTCATTTTTATGGAAGGCATTAACATAAGAACTGGCTTAATGAGATGCAAGCAGCTGCCAGTTGCTGCCTTCATCAACAAATCAACACCAAACATCTGATCTGCCAGATAATTAGATAAATGTAATTAACAGTTAACTCGGAAGGTAGAAAAACATAATTTGATTGGCTCTCGGTCCTTTGGCCTCCTTTATTGTGTTTTTAAAAGATAGCACTTACTCTGAATTTATTGAGAAAACATCGCTTGTGCTTTGCTTGAAGTGGAATTTGTTTGTTGCACTTAAAAATCGCAGTGATTTAAGGCTGTCTAGTAACAAAACCATGAAGAAAGCAGGAATATGACATCAACTTAATGGAATAGGAAGTAGAATGGAATAGAATAGAATGTAATGGAATAGAACAGAACAGAACAGAACAGAAGAATAGAATAGAAATAGAATAGAATAGAATAGAATAGAATAGAATAGAATAGAATAGAATAGAATAGAATAGAATAGAATAGAATAGAATAGAATAGAATAGAATAGAATTTTTTATTGGCCAAGTGTGATTGGACACACAAGGAATTTGTCTTGGTGCATATGCTCTCAGTATATAGCCTACACCTTATACAGGTAGTCCTTGACTTATGAGCACAATCGAGCCCAAAATTTATGTTGTTAAGTGAGACATTTGTTAAGTGAGTTTTTGACCCACTTTTGCGACCTTTCTTGCCACCGTTGTTACGTGAATCCCTGCAGTTGTAAAGTTAGTACCTCGGGATCGTCGTAAATATGAAACAGTTGCCAAGCATTGGAATTCTGATCACATGACCCCCGGGGGATGCTACAAAAGTTGTAACTGTGAAAAACGGTCATAAGTCACTTTTTTTCAGTTGTAACTTTTGAACAGTCAACTAAATGAACTGTCGTAAATGGAGGACTACCTCAAATCGCCAGTTTGCTCTGAAAACTTTGCCCACAGAAGTTGTTGAACAGATTCCTTACGTTTTCACTTGGGAAGATTCTCCAACAACATAAATAGAATTTTTTTTAAAAAACACATTTAAATAATGCATTTTCTAAAATACCTGCAGTTGTTTAATTTTTTAAACATGTTTTTTTAAAACATATTCTCAAGCTGAGGAACAATACAATTAAACAAGATAAAGCACTCCAAATTGATATGCAAACACTGTTGCATGTTTGCCTCTGAGTTTCAAATGATAAAGAGTTTGTGGGTTATTCTCTTTTAGCGTCAATAATATGAATTGCAGCTTGTTCAATGAGCTGTGTTGGTCCTTTGGAGGGCTGCAATAACTTTTGAGATGCTATTGTAAAACCTCCATAGAGAAGAGTCAATGATCTATTATCTTCACATCATTGACAATATAAATACTGCAAGTTTCAGATTTGCTGATTCTAAGTGTAGCTTGGGACTCCTTTGTATATGAATAACCAATGTGATTCTAGATTGATTAAAATTAGTCATTTATAACCATTGTGAGCTACTCTATGACATATTCCTTCCTACAGGAATATTAAATCTACAGTAGTGGCCAAAATTGTGGAAACCTGGGAAAAGTGTATTTTTGAGGTCTGATCGCTAATAATACCACTTTTTTGGGGGAGTTTCAAGATAATCCTATTCCACTGCTGGAATGGCCTGGGAATAGCCCAGACCTTCACCCAATTGAAAATCTATGGAGCCGACTAAAGAAACTGGTTAGTCAGAAGCGACCCAGCAATAAAACCCAGTTAATAGAAGCCATCATTCAATCTTGGTTTCACATGATAACAGCTGCAGAACTACAAGACTTGCTTCACTCCATGGGAAGACGTTGTAAGGCCGTAATTTATGCTAAAGGTTACCCAACTAAGTATTAACTGACATGGTGATCATTTTTGTATATCTCGTTTTTTCCACGTATTTCACTTTTCTTCTTTATACTGTAACTGCTATTCTAATAGCAAATCCTTCCTAAAACTTATTGCATTACATTCTTGATTAAATTATCTTTTCACTGATATATAATTTTATGGTACTACTCCCCCAAAAGGTGGTGTTATTAGCTAGTTTTAGAAAATACACTTTTCCCAACAGCTTTCCACAATTTTGGCCACTACTGTAGACAACTAGCCCTACACATTAATATATACATACACAAGAATATCTTCAATATTTTCTCCTAAAAAACGGTAGTTGAAAATCGACTGGAAAATTCCATCCAAAGGGGGGGGGGAGTTTATTTTATTTTTCAGTTTTAAAAGTTGGGGCAATAAAGATGGTCTAGAATAATTCAGCTGTAGGAAGCTAACGAAGCAACATTATTCGCAAGTAATGGTTATTGAGAATTTCTGAGAGTTCAAGCTTATTTTCCTGGATTCATTTCCTTAACTTCTAAGCTGTCCTTTTTGTATGACTGCCTAAAGAATGATTTTTTAAAAACCAATGGCTTTAATGTTTAATGCTCCTTTCTGAAGTATTTGAATGACAATACAGGTAAATGTTGTAAGTTTTTTCTTATACCGAAGCTTGTACATTATAGAGAGCATTATAGAGCCAAAATGCTATTCAAATTCCTGTTTGTCAGATGAGTGTGTCTGATTATTGTATTATTATACATTATTAATTAATGTGTCTAATTATTAATAATGAAACACAATTGACAAAACAAGGGTCTGACTGAATCTTCTGACTTTAAAAGTGTTTAGGAAAGAATAAACAATAATAATGGCAAATACCTTTATAAGTTGGTTGTAGTAATGTCTATTATGAGCTTTCAGAATTTATTTTCAAATGGATAGGGTAGGGTAGGGTAGGGTAGGGTAGGGTAGGGTAGGGTAGGGTAGGGTAGGATAGGATAGGATAGGATAGGATAGGATAGGATAGGATAGGATAGGATAGGACAGGACCTCGGTGGCGCAGTGGATAGAGTGCAGTACTGCAGGCCACTTCTGCTGACTACCGGCTGCCTGCAATTTGGCAGTTCAAATCTCACCAGGCTCAAGATTGACTCAGCCTTCCATCCCTCCATCCTTTCCATTGCTTTAATCTAGAATCTAAGTTTATCTTTGATTCTCTTTGGAGTTCTGCTGGGGATATTCTAAGTCGAATATTAGTTTTTTAGCACTTAGCCCTTAGATTTATATACCACTTAGAAGTATATAAGCATTTAGATTTATATTCAGTGCTTTGCAGCCCTCTCTAAGCGGTTTACAGAGTCAGCCTATTGCCCCCAACCATCTGGGTCCTCCTTTTACTCACCTTGGAAAGATGGAAGGCTGAGTCAACCTTTAGCCTGATGAGATTTGAACTGCCAAATTGCAGGTAGCTGGCAATCAGCAGAAGTAGCCTGCAGTACTGCGTTCGAACCACCGCGCCACTGTGGCTCATTATGATTACTGAGTGCCTCCTCGCAGATTTGTGCACGCTTTTAATGACCACACCATTTTTATTCTTCTCTCCAGGTCCAGTGCAACACGTTTCCGCTGGAGTCAGTGCTATTACACCTCCCAAGATGAATGGGCCCTGGACAACATCTATATAGGACAGCAGTGCCCAAATATGTGCAACGGGCATGGCTGGTGCGATCATGGCCTTTGCAGGTATCTCCTGTTTGTTTGCTGTTAGAGAAAAAGAATAGAATAGAATAACGGAGTTGGAAGGGACCTTGGAGGTCTTCTACTCCAAACCGCTGCTCAGGCAGGAAACCCTATACCCGAGATGGCGAACCTATGGCACGGGTGCCACAGGTGGCCCACGGAGCCATATTGGTGGACACGCGAGTTCAGCTCCGACACGCATGCGTGCGCCAGCCAGCTGATTTTCGGGCCTTCTGGGCCCACCAGAAGTCAGGAAACACACTGTTTCCGGCCTCTGGAGGGCCTCTCGGGGGGGAGGCTGTTTTTGCCCTCCCCAGGCTCCTAGAAAGGCTCTAGAGCCTGGGGAGAGCAAGAAACGGGCCTACCGGGCCCACCGGACCATCACATGCCAAAAGCGGGGGGAGCACGGGGGGGCACATAGAATTATGGATGTGGGCATGCGTGCATGTGACCCAACCACGCTCCCCCCACTTTTGGCACGCGATGGCAAAAAGGTTAGCCATCATTGGCCTATACCATTTCAGACAAACGGTTGTCCAATCTCTTCTTCAAACTTTCTGGTGTTGGAGCATTCACACCTTCTGGAAGCAAGTTGTCCCACTGATTAATTGTTCTTTCCAATTACAGGTAATCCTCAGTTTACGACCACAATTGGGCCCAAACTTCCTGTTGCTAAGTGAGACAGTTGTTAAGTGAGTCTTCCCCCATTTTGCAATCTTTCTTGCCACCGTTTTTAAATGAATCACTGCAGTTCTTCAGTCAGTAACACGGTTGTAAAATGAATCTGGCTCCCCTCATTGACTTTGTTTGTTGGAAACTGGCTGTTGTGGCCTGCGGCGGCTGGCCCCTCCAGCAGCCAAATCAGAGGAGGAGGAGGAGGTGTGGGAGTCAGGCCCAGCATCAAGGCAACCTGAGAACTCCGAGGAGGAAGAGGGAATAGAGCTGTCAGAGAGAGAGAGGTGGCGCCTGGGATGTCCGTCAGCCCTCAGATGGAGAGTCAATAGCCCCCAGGTCTGGAGGTGGCTGATGAGGAAGAGGAGGAACAGCTGGGTCCAGTGCCTGACGCGCAGATGCACAGAAGGCAGAGGAGAGGAGAACAGTGGAAATCTATGGGCCGGTCCTTGGGACGGAAGAGCCACCGCTGCTAGTAAAGCCCCACTCTAGCTCTGGGGATAAAAGGCAGGGCGAGGAAATAAATAGATGTGGCAGACAACTATTCATCTTCTGGCCAGACAGACTTGTTAACCTGCAGTGAGAGAGAAACTTTTTGCCAGGGCTGCCGGCGCTCCTAATAAAGGAATCTTTGACTTCACATCAGAGGGTTTGTCGTGTTTGGGGAGCTGGGTCAGAACGCTGGCTGGGAAGGTTGCACATGACCTTGGGAGGACACTGCAACCGTCATAAATATGAGCCAGTTGCCAAGTGTCTGAATTTTGATCATGTGACCACAGAGATGCTGCAGCAGTCGTAAGTGTGAGAATCAGTCATGTGTCACTGTTTTTCAATGCCATTGTAAGCTTGTTTAGGGACCATTCAGTTACACCGACACTGAAAAAAGTGACTTTCGACTGTTTTTCACACTTAAAACTCTTGCAGCATCTTCATGGTCATGCGATCAACATTAGAGACGCTTAGCTACTGACTCATATTTATGACGGTCACAGCGTCCCGGGGGTTGGTGGTCACGTGATCCCCTTTTGCGACCTTCTGTTGAGCAAACTTAATGGGGAAGCCCGATTCACTTAACAACCCTGTTATTAACTTAAAATGTGCAGTGATTCATTGAACAGCTGTGTCAAGAAAGGTCATAAAATGGGTCAAAACTCACTTAACAACTGCCTCACTTAGCAAGGGGAATTTTGGGCTCAATTGTGATCGTAAGTCGAGTTCAACCTGAATGAGTTTTAGATTATAGGAGAGCAAAACTTACATCTTGCTCACCTCATATAGTGTGACAAGCGAGTGGTTGGTGACCTAGAGGTGGAACTCTCGCCTCACAATCGGGAGTCTATGAGTTTGATCCTAGGTAGAGGAAAATATTTCTCATCCTGGGCATGACGAGAATGTCAGACTATGATGCTATCTCAAAATTAAACGAATTTCCAAACTGCCAATCTTTAAGGAAATCTTTCTTTAATTGAGCACAGCCACTGGATCATGACTCCGCGCGGACAAGACTGACCTTTTGCCTCCCAATCCCTCCCTTTCCGATCCCCAAATCTCTGCTTCTCATTGGCTGTCTTCCAAGTCATTCTTCAGACTTCTTTTTCTCATCATTTCCCAGGAATGTGCCCCCTCCCCTCATTTCCATGACAACTCGGCTTCAAAGGGATTTAGCAGGCAAAAGTTTCAGAGTTTATCTCTCGCTCTCCTCTGCTCTCTATGCCAGCGTTGGAACGCTGACAGAGAATATATCTGCTGAATAGAACTCTGCATTGGTGACAGGAAAGGCATCCGCCCAGACTCAGCTCCATTCAGTTGCCCAGACTCCAATCCGCAAAGGATTATGGGATCACTGAATGGAAATGATGATATAGAATGACAAGCCATCTGTATAACTTAAGATAATAACTTATAAAATCATACCTAACAAAGATATATGTAAATACATTATACATGTTCCCATGGGTGGGATTTCGCCAGTTTGGACCGGTTCTGGAGAACCGGATGTTAATTTTAATCTGGCTCGCCGAACCAGTATTTGCAAGGACTGACTGACCCCGCCCACCCCACCCTGCCCCTCCCAAGAGTCTCCACGCGGCCCATTTTGGATGCCAGGTAAGTGCAGGGCCCGTGCGGAAGCTCTGGGAGGCTGAAAAATGGGCCTACCGGAGGCCCTCCGGAGGCCGGGGAAGGCCGTTTTCACTCTCCCAGATACCACATACCTTGTGTTTGTTCTCCTCTGCAGATGTGACTCTGGATACCAGGGTACTGAATGCCAACCTGAAAATAATCTGCCTTCAACTATAATGTCTGATTTTGAGAATCCGAACACTTTGGAAAAAGAATGGCAGGAAGTCATTGGCGGAGAGATTGTAAAACCAGAACAAGGCTGCGGAGTGATCTCCTCTGGATCCTCTCTTTATTTCAACAAGGTATATCTATCCATTCGCTCAGTATAATGCGATTCAGAAAGAAAGGTGGTGGAATGGTAAAACACAAAGACGACATTCTTCCATGGTTTTTACTTGTTGGGCTTGAATGTTTTAACTTTGAAAAAAAAATGTCGGATTTGCCACAACAGAATGGAGTGGACTGGAGTGGAGTGGAGTGGAGTGGAGTGGAGTGGAGTGGAGTAGAACAGAACAGAACAGAACAGAACAGAACAGAACAGAACAGAACAGAACAGAACAGAATAGAATAGAAAATATGGAATGGAATGGAATGGAATGGAATGGAATAGAATAGAATAGAATAGAATAGAATAGAATAGAATAGAATAGAATAGAATAGAATAGAATAGAATAGAAAATATGGAATGGAATGGAATGGAATGGAATAGAATAGAATAGAATAGAATAGAATAGAATAGAATAGAATAGAATAGAATAGAATAGAATAGAATAGAATAGAAAAATGGAATGGAATGGAATAGAAAATATATGGAATGGAATGGAATGGAATGGAATGGAATAGAAAGAATAGAATAGAATAGTAGAATAGAATAGAATAGAATAGAATAGAATAGAAAATATGGAATGGAATAGAAATAGAAATAGAAATAGAAATAGAAAAGTGTGATTGGACACACAAGGAATTTTTCTTCGGTGTATAAGCTCTCATTGTACCATAAAAGCTATAAGTGATAAATCATGATCATAGTCACCGTAAAAATACATTCATCAAAAATCATAAGGTACAACACTTAGTGATAGAAACAACATGAATCATGCTAGGAAACTAAATAAAACAATATAAATCATAAAGATACAAGCAACAAAGTTATAGTCATAATTAGAAAAGGAGATAGGCAATAGGAATAGTTTGATAGTGTTGTGGGAATTGGTTGTTTAGCAGAGGGGTGGCATAGGGGGAAAAACTGTCCTTGTGTCTAGTGGTTCCGGTGTGCAGTGGGCTCCATTTGTTGAGAAAGTTATAGTTTTATTAGAGATCAAGTGTACTGCAAAGCCAGAACTGAGAATCGCGCACCACAGCTAGTCCTCAACTTACAACAGTTCATTTAGTGACCATTCAAAGCTACAACAGCACTGAAAAAAAGTGACTTATGACCGTTTTTCACACTTACGACTGTCGCAGCCTCCCTACAATCACATAATCAAAATTCAGAGGTTTGTCAACGGACTCATACTTATGACGGTTGCAGTGTCCTGGGGTGATGTGATCCATTTTTGCGACCTTCTGACAAACAAAGTCATGGAGGAAAACCAGATTCCCTTAACAACCATGTCACTAACTTAACTGCTGCGATTCACTTAACAACTGTGGCAAGAACGGTTATAAAATGAGGCAAAATTCCCTTAACAAACGTCTCACAGAGCAGCCGAAATGTTGGGCTCAATAGTGGTTGTACGGACCACCTGTCTATGAAAGTTATCCCCGTTACATATCTCCTTCATCAGAGAACAGAGTCATAAAGAGTGGCGTGGTGGCCTAGAAGGTGGAGCTCTCGCCTCACAGTCAGGAGGTTGTGAGTTCGATCCTAGGTAGAGGCTGATATTTCTCTCTCTGGGCACGATGAGAATATATCTGCTGAAGAGAACTCCATATTGGCAACAGGAAGGGCATCTGGTCAGTAAACACTCTGCTAGCTCCATTCAGTTGCCCAGACTCCACTCTGTAAAGGATTACGGGGTCATTAAACGACGAAGAAGAGAAGAGAAGAGAAGAGAAGAGAAGAGAAGAGAAGAGAAGAGAGAAGAGAAGAGAGTCATAAAGTGAGCTGAAAGAGACGGCTGGATAATGGAGAAAGCAAGAGGAAAATTTCATCCAGAGCACACAATTTGGAGGAGAAGGAAGAAATGCTCCATCAGAGGAGAAGGAAGTGGCTTCAAGGAGAAAAAGGGGCAGCTGGACCACCACTTATGAGAACCTGCAGATGGGAAGATGATGAGGCCAACAGATGGCTGGGTCTTAAATGTAGACCGATCACTCGTCGCTCGGATGATGGTGCAGAAAACCCGATGAAGCTTAAGAAAGAAAAAAGCCACTTAAAGCTACAGCTAACAAAAGCGGACGTTTCAAGTGTCCCATTTATTTGTGGGAGGGGGGGAGGGACGGACAAAAACCAGCAAGCCCTTCAGTTTGCAACTCTTCAGGGGGAAAAAAAAAGCTTCCTAATACCGCTCCTTAATTCACTCCTCCCACCTGAATGGGTGAAATAGTCACTCACAAACAACAGCCAAAGTGTTGCTTTTACGAGTTTTCCAAGGTCGTGCGCATTGTCCCCCCCGCATTCTCTATTCCTTGACATTCGGGCGCGCGATGAAAGAAACAGGGGTGTGAGTTTCACTCCCCTTGTTGTGCTCCGCTCTGAGGAGCGCCACGGAAAGCCACGGCTGTCTGTCTCGGCGAGCTCACCACAGATGCCGGAGATTGATTGTGTTGCTCTAACGTTTGATGATGTACACAGTCCAAGGGGAGAACAATTATTGTTAATCTTCAGTGGTCCCTTGGATGAGTCTTAATCTGCCGGGCCCAGGTGTTATGCATCTCCTCTTTAAAGCTTCACTCACTGTCACTAACCTTGGCAACAGCCTCACTGAGATATTTTTAATCAAAGACTCTCTCTCTCTTTTTTTTAAAACAGGCAGCTGTCTGAGGAATATTTTAAAAAAGAAGAAGATAATTTTCCTTTTTAAAAAAACTAGAAGAAACGTATGTTTTAACCTCCACCGTTGCAACCTTCTCTCAATTCAGAATGCAATTTTGTATTATAATGACGCCATTTATTTGTTTTTGCGATTGTTAAGGTCCTTGGCAGGATGCTCTTCTTTTAATTCATCTCTCCTCCCCCCCCCACCCGTTTCCTTTGTGATTTTAATAATTGGAGTCTTTTTTTAAAAAAAAACAACTAATAATAAATGTAATGATGTCGTGATTCATCTCGCTGGAAAAGGAGATTTTGTGTTGGAGGCTTTGAGCTCGTGACAACAATTCTATCTGGAATTGCATTTCGGCTGTTTACATGGGGGGACGAGATAGCTGGTTTATCTTAGGAAATGCAGACAGCTTGAACCCAGAGCCAGAATGTCATGTCATATGTTCTCTAATAGATGGATCATCCTATCAAAGACCAGATTTTTTTTTCACTGAAAGAGAAGGTGGAAAGACATTATATAGTCTTTGATGAAGGAATATATCAACTTAGGCCTCGCTGGTACCTTCCATTTGGTTCATATTTCAGGTAGTTGTGAAATCAGATTATATTTTAAAATAATATCCCTATCGTGTTCTACCAATTTACATTTGGCAATAAAAAATGAGCTGGCTTACAACGAAAGAATATGATGAATAGGAAACCATGGACTGAAACATTTTTAGATGCTAATCTATCTGGTAAAAGGGCATCAAATGGACGTCAGTAATCTTCTGGTAAATAGTTAAAACTCAAATCAATTAAACCAGTGGTGGAATTCAAATTTTTTTACTACAGGTTCTGTGGGCGTGGCTTGGTAGGCGTGGCAGGGGAAGGATACTGCAAAATCCCCATTCCGTCCCCACTCCTGCGGAAAGGATGTTGCAAAATCTCCATTCCCACCCCACTCTGGGGCCAGCCAGAGGTGGCATTTGCCAGTTCTCCGAACTACTCAAAATTTCTGCTACTGGTTCTCCAGAACCTGTCAGAACTTGCTGAATAGCATCCCTGAATTAAACTCATGTCACACGTGTTGGCATAGACTTTGTCAATATTTGTCCACACGCTTATTAACTTTCTAGTAAGGATAACTTCCAGATAGGGGGTCTCCAACCTTGGCAACTTTAAAACTCGTGGACTTCAACTCCCAGAATTCTTTAGCCAGCTATATTGTTATGTATTTTGAAATAACAATAATAAATAATAATAATGAACACCTTAAAAAATGTCGTTTTTTTATATCAGCCGAAAGAAATATCCCTCACCTTTACGCCTAGATAGGTCTATGTAGCCTATTCATAATCTGAATAGAAAAATATCCATCGTTGTAAAAAGAGGATAAAAATCATGCTTGCATGACTTATAAAATGATTACATAATCAATTCATCTACATTTCCTTAGGTAAACTACTACTTTCATTGACATGAACCCAATACGGGCCAAATCTGTCGGTAGGTAGGTAGATGGAGAGAGGGGGGGAGAGGGAAGGAGGGAAAGAGAGAAAGACAGAGAGAGAGACAGATAGACAGAAAAAGAGACAAACAGAGAGAGAGAGGGAGGGAGGGAAAGAGAAAGTGAGACAGAAAGAGAGAGAAAGAGAGAAAGGCTGAGAAAGAGAGACTGAGAGAGAGAAAGCGATTGAGAGAGAAAGAGGCTGAGAGAGAGATTGGGAGAGAGATTGAGAGAGAGAGAAGGCTAAAAGAGAAAGAGAGATTGAGAGAGAAAGAGGCTGAGAGAGATTGAGAGAGAGAAAGAGGGAGATTGAGAGAGAGATTGAGAGAGAAAGAATAGAATAGAATAGAATAGAATAGAATAGAATAGAATAGAATAGAATAGAATAGAATAGAATAGAATAACAGAGTTGGAAGGGACCTTGGAGGTCTTCTAGTCCAACCCCCTGCTTAGGCAGGAAACCCTACACCACTTCAGACAAATGGTTATCTAACCTCTTCTTAAAAACTTCCAGCGTTGGAACACTCACAACTTCTGGAGGCAAGTTGTTGAGCAATTGAGAGAGAGAAAGAGATTTTTTTCATTTTTTTTCATTTTTATTAAATTTGTATACCGCCCTACTCCCGAAGGACTCAGGGCGGTGAACAGCCATAAAATAAAACATGTAGATACAAAATTTAAAATAGAGATAAAACTAATTAAATAAATTTGGCTGAGACATTTTAAGAGATGAGATTGAGAACGAGAGGCTGAGAAAGAGAGTTTGAGAGATTGAGAGAGAGAGAGAGAGAGAATGGGAGAACCTCACACACACATGGACACACTTGCAATTTGAGTCTCCCTGTGAATTTTACTACTTTGGATTGTCTACTGTGTGAGGTTGGATAACATCATCAGCAACAACAACAACATCATCAACAACATTATCAATATCATCAATGTTTTTTTTTTGTTGTTGTTCCTTGTATGCTCCAGGCTGGGAAGAGACAATTGGTGAGCTTGGATTTGGACACCACCTGGGTAGACTTTGTCCAGTTTTACATTCAGATCGGCGGAGAGAGTCCTTCCTGCAACAAGCCAGACAGCAGAGAAGAAGGCGTCCTCCTGCAATACAGCAACAATGGAGGCATCAACTGGCACGCCCTGGCAGAAATGTACTTCTCTGACTTCAGCAAATCCAGGTATTGATTCATACCAGGGGTGAAATGCTCCCAGTTCGAACCGGATCACGCAATCCAGTAGCAATGGTGGCGGGTGGTTCGGAGAACCGGTAGCAAAAATCCCTGCCCCCCACCCCCATGCCCAGCTGAGCCGCGCGATCATCAGAGGCTTTTTTTTTTTTAATTTTTAAAAGCATTTTTTCTACGACCTCTTTGGCCAAAAAAATGCTTTTAAAAGTAAAAAAAAAAAGCCTCTGATGATCCCACGTCTCAGCTGGGATCGTCAGAGGCTTTTAAAAGCATTTTTTTCTGCAACCTCTTGAAAAAAAATGTTTTTAAAAGCCTCTGACGATCCCAGCTGAGTTGCCTGAGTTTTGTTTTTTTAAAGCCTCTACCAATCAGGCAACTCAGCTGGGATTGTCAGAGGCTTTTAAAAGCATTTTTTTACAACCTCTTCAGCCGAAGAGGTTGTAGAAAAAATGGTTTTAAAAGCTAAAAAAAGAAAAAGTTGGTCACGCCCACTCAGTCACATTACCCCTTCACCAAGCCATGGCCACAGAACCAGTAGTAACAGATTTTACATTTCACCACTGATTCATGGCAGAAAAGTTTTGATGTCTACCTACGACAGCATGATTAGCCTTACGTTCATATCTGAGGAGTTGTCTCACCCCGATGGGATTGGCCCATCTCACTCATTTCAGCTTTGGATCCCGTTGGCCAGAGGTGGTATTCAGCCGGTTCGGGCCAGTTCACCCGAACCAGTAGTGGAAATCACGGGTGGGCCTGCCCCTCTGCCCCATCCACCCCTGCTCTATGCCATCCTATTTAGACACATTTTTTAGGCCGTGCACATGCGCGGAAGGCACGCGCACTAACAAAGTGCATGCACGGAAGGCCGGGTTCATGCGTGGCAGGCCGGCACACAAGCAAACCAGGAATGCGCGCATGAAGCAAACATGCAGGCAGGTGGCGAACCAGTAGTAACATAGTGTGAAACCCACCACTGCCGTCAGCTACATATTTCGGCTGGGAGGTCCAGGAGAAGAGTCATTTCCACTGTGGCCCCTTTCTTCTGGAATATTCTCCTATTGGAGGGGAGGTTGCCCCCCCCCCCCACATTCCTGGCCTTCCAGAAGAGCCTGAAAACCTGACTCTGCCAGCCAGTTTGGGGCACCAATAGGGGTGCTCTATGCTGAGGGTGGCTGTTGGTATAGAGCAGGGCTCTGAAAGTTGGAGACTTTAAGACTTGTGGACTTCAACTCCCAGAATTCCGCAGCCAGCACGGCTGGCTGGGGAATTCTGGGAGCTGAAGTCCACAAGTTTTAAAATTGCCAAGTTTGGAGACCCCTGGTATAGAGAGACAATCCTCACCCATATGCCTCCTGTCCTCTTGTTTTTTAAGTTTTTTTTTATTTAATCTTCCATAATTGTAATTGTGTGGGAAAAGACCAGGCTGAGCTGGAAGGTGGAGTTAAACATGTCATCAGTTTGAAGTCGTTGCATAACCACAAGAGACCCAGGTCCAGCCTCCTCATGAATTCCACTGAGCCTTATCTAGCATCCATTTCAGTGGTGGGTTCCTCACGGTTCAGCCAAGCCGGTAGCGGTGACGATATGATGTCACTGAACTGGTTCTCTTTGTTTGGGAGCTTCCCCCCCCCGTTATTCTTACCTTTTATTTGGCCCTGCCCCCAATCTATTCGCTGCCTCCCAAGTCCCAGCTGATCGGCTAGAAGGAAAAAAACTGTTTAAACTCTTGCCGCGGGGCTTCAAAGTGCCGCCCTACAGCTGATCAGTGTTAAAAGGCAGTGTGGTGGTAGACCAGTGCACTCGAAAAACAAATGGGTAGACCGGTGCCTCCAAAAACAAATGAGTAGACCGGAACGCTCCAAGAACAAATGGGTAGACTGGTACAGCTCTGCAAGCAATTAAAAGCCTGGTAGACCAGTACCTCTGCTAAAGCCTAAAGAATTGTCACATGACCATCAAGCCACGCCCACGGAACTGGTAGTAAAAAATTTTAGAACCCGCCCCTGATCCATTTAGCTTTAACCATTATTTGATCAGATTCTGGTGAACAGGTAGCAACAATAAATTCTTCTGAACTTGAACTCAATGAATGTTCTTAGTTATTTGCACCTGGCAAATTCTTTTGTGTTATCTTCTAACCTTTATATCATTTTGTAAACTGCTCAGATTGGCTGCAACAGTGAGATGAGCAGCATATGAGCTTAATAAATATTAATAATGTATCCGTGAGCTTTTTAGAATCATACAGGTTTACATGAGGAGTACTGAAGAGTTTATTGAATTGAAAATAAGCCACATTAGCCTGGTGGATCCTGTCTATCCATCTTTCAGTCAAACATTATAGCCACTTCCCTTTGAGTCTTCAGGAGGCAACTGGATTTCCTTGTTTTTTTTCTTTGAAGACATTTTGCTTCTCATCCAAGAAGCTTCTTCAGCTCGAGCTGAAGAACCAATTCGCAATGGGGCCCTGCGCCATTTTTGGGGCCGGCCCCAAAAATTAAGGTGCATCTTATACTCCGGTGCATCTTATACTCCAAAAAATACGGTAACTTGCATTGGTTCAAACAGAATGTTCCACCCTCCTCTTTACTTGCATTCACGTGTTTATCTGCATTTTACACGTCTCTTTTTAACACGCGAGGAATGTCTGCATCTAGGTTTGTCTATCTGGAGCTTCCTCCTGCTGCAAAGACCCCCTGCACTCGATTCCGTTGGTGGCAACCGGTGTTTTCGGGAGAAGGCTACGATCAGTGGGCTATCGATGACATCATCATCCTGTCCGAAAAGCTGAAACAGATCATCCCTGTGGCTAACCCCACGTTGCCTCAGGTAATAAGTTGGGCGGTGTTTTACACTTATGAAAATGTTAGCGCAAAATTCGGCAGTTCGATCCTGATCGGCTCAAGGTTGACTCGGCCTTCCAATCCTTCCGAGGTCGGTAAAATGAGGACCCAGATTGTTGGGGGCAAAATGCTGACTCTGTAAACCGCTTAGAGAGGACTCTAAAGCACTGTTAAGCGGTATATAAGTCTAAGTACTATTGCTATTCTAAGCCGTGATGGCACAGTAGGTAGAATGCAGTATTGCAGGCTAACTCTGCCGACTGTCAGCAGCTCGATCCTGACCGGCTCAAAGTTGACTCAGCCTTCCAATCCTTCCGAGGTCGTTAAAATGAGGACCCAGATTATTGGGGGCAATAGGCTGAAACTATAAACCACTTAGAGGACTGTAAAGCTCTGTGAAGCGGTATATAAGTCTAAGGGCTAGCGCTATTCTAAGCCCTGGTAGCACACTAGGTAGAATGCAGTATTGCAAACTAACTCTGCTGACTGCCAGCAGCTTAATTGTATTCTAATTGCATTTTTAAATTTAAGACTTTCATTTAGTGCTTGAATGTTTTATACAGTATTTTGTTCAATGTCTTTTAAGTTGCCTAGAGTCACCTTTGGCCAGATGGGCAGCATACACGTTTGATTAATAAATAGCGCGGAGGTTTTTTCCCTATATATATATATTTTATTTCAACTAGAATTTTTACGAGAAACCAGCCTTTGATTACCCCATGAACCAGCTCAGCATGTGGCTAATGTTAGCGAACGAAGGGATGCCCAAAAACGAAACTTTTTGTTCGGCTACCCCATCAGCGATGATATTTGGCAAATCAGATGGCGATCGGTTTGCAGTGACCCGGGATTTAACGCTGAAAACAGGTTACGTCCTTCAATTCAAGGTATTCTTTCCCTCCCTCCCTCTCTCTCCCTCTCTCCCTCTCCCTCTCCCTCTCCCTCTCCCTCCCTCCCTCTCTCTCCTTCTCTCCCTCCCTCTCTCTCCCTCTCTCCCTCTCCCTCTCCCTCCCTCCCTCTCTCTCCTTCTCTCCCTCCCTCTCTCCCTCCCTCTCTCTCCCTCTCTCCCTCTCCCTCCCTCCCTCTCTCTCCTTCTTTCCCTCCCTCTCTCCCACTCTCCCTCCCTCTCTCTCCCTCCCTCCCTCTCTTTCCCTCTCTCTCTCCCTCCCTCCCTCTCCCTCCCTCTCTCCCTCCCTCTCCCTCCCTCCCTCTCTCTCTCCCTCCCTCTCTCTCCCTCCCTCTCTCCCCCCACTTTTGGCACGTGATGGCAAAAAGGTTAGCCATCACTGGCTAAACCACTTTAGCAAGCTGTTATGCTCTTAGCTGCCATCAACCTTTCATTGAGTTCATCATTAAATTCCTCTGGAAATTCTTGGGATCGATTGCACTAAAAAATTTAACGAGTTGCCCACAATATAAACGAGCCTTGCGTAACTGTAGGCCGAGAATAAGGTACAGACATAATTATTTTTAAAAAAAAAAAACATTGTATGTTTACAAGCAAGTTTTCAAATATAATTCCCACTCTTCTATAAATAGGGGGAGCTGGCAAGCACAGGAGGACTTGTAAAATAACCTCCCTCTGTTTTGACATTGCATTGACGAAATGATATGCAAACTGAGAAACATTCTGTTGCATATGATGTTTGTTGCAGGTTTTTCCTAATGTAGTCCGTAAAACACGGTCCCATGTGCCTGCCTTAAGTTCTTTTTTATAAAATATTTCAATCTTTGAAATAATGCTAAGATTTACAACAGTGGCCAAAATTGTGGAAACCTTTTGGGGAAAGTGTATTTTTTTTAAAATAATTTTTATTAATATATTCTATACACCAATACACAAATAAAATATACAATCCTGCCACCATGGTATAATGTGATTGAATTGTCCATAAATATAAAGTCATTCCTTTATACATACATATTTGCCATCATATATATACATCATCATATATCTATTCTATCCCACCTTTTCTGGACCCAATCGTACCATAATTTCCAACTGTTATAAAGTTCTGAATCTTTTTTACCATTAATCAATCTAGTTAATCTATCTGATTCCGCACACTCATTAATTTTATATATTATTTTCAAATCTATCGGTAAGTATTGATTTTTCCACTCCTGCGCATACGCTAATCTTGCTGCAGTAATAATGTGAATCAACAAGAACCATATATCTGATTTAACATTCAAAGGTTTTGCCCCCAATAGGAAAATCTCGGGCCTTAATTCCAAATTAATCTGTGTAATTTCCAAAATCCATTGCCGTATTTTTTTCCAATATTTAACCGCCTGGGGAAAGTGTATTTTTGAGGTTTGATGGCTAATAACACCACTTTTTTGGGGGCGGGGAAGTTTCAAGAGAATCCTATTCCACTGCTGGAATGGCCTGGGAATAGCCCAGACCTTAACCCAATTGAAAATCTATGGAGCCGACTAAAGAAACTGGTTAGTCAGAAGCGACCCAGCAATAAAACCCAGTTAATAGAAACCATCCTTCAATCTTGGTTTCACATGATAACAGCTGCAGAACTTAAAAGACTTGGTTCACTCCATGGGAAGACGTTGTAAGGCTGTAATTCATGCTAAAGTTTACCCAACTAAGTATTAACTGACATGGTGATAATTTTTGTCTATCTCATTTTTTCCATGGTGATCATTTTTGTATATCTCGTTTTTTCTCCGTGTTTCACTCTCCTTCTTTATACTGTAACTGCTATTCTAATAGCAAATCCTTTGTAAAAGTTATTGCATTACATTCTTGATTCAATGATCTTTCCATTGATATATAATTTTATGGTATTACTCCAAAAAAAAAAAGAAGTGTTATTATTAGCTAGTTTTAGTAAATACACTTTTCCCAAAATGTTTCCACAATTTTGGCCACTACTGTAAATTGGAATTCAAGTCAATTCAATTCTCCTGAAACTGTACAAAGTACAGTTATATCTCGCCTTGCAACTATTCATTTAGTGACTGTTCAATGTTACAGCAGCTCTCAAAAAGTGATGTATGGCCATTTTTCACACTTGCGGCCATGGCAGCATCCCCCATTCACGTGATCAAAATTCAGATGCTTGGCAACTGGCATGTATTTAGAATAGGATAACAGAGTTGGAAGGGACCTTGGAGGTCTTCTAGTCCAACCCCCTACCCAGGCAGAAAACCTTAAACCATGGTTATGCAACATCTTCTTTAAAACTTCCAGTGTTGGAAGTATTCACAACTTCTGCAGGCAAGTTGTTCACTGATTAATTGTTCTCACTGTTGGGAAATTTCTCCATAGTTCTAAGTTCTCTCCTGGATTAGTTTCCACCCATTGCTTCTTGTCCTGCCCTCAGGTGCTTTGGAGAATGACTCCCTCTTCTTTGTGGCAACCCCTGAGATATCGGAACACTGCTATCATGTCTCCCCTAGTCCTTCTTTTCATTAAACTAGACGTACCCAGTTCCTGCAACCGTTCTTCATATGTTTTAGCCTCCAGTCCCCTAATCATCTTTGTTCCTAATCATTTGTGACGATTGCAATGTCCCGGGATCTGGCGATTAATTTTTGCAATCTCCTAAACAAGCAACATCAAAGGGGGAACCAGATTCACTTAGCAAGCGTGTTACGAACTTAATCACCGCAGTGATTCCCTTAACAACGGTGGCAAGAAAGGTTGTAACATGAGGCAAAACTCACTTAAGAACTATCTCGCTTAGCAACGGAAATGTTGGGCTCAATCGTGATTGCTAGTTCAAGGACTATGTTTGCGTGCTGTCTGGATGAGATACCAGTTTCATGTTTGTGTGTTCCTAACAGCGAGAATAAACAACCAAGAAGAGACCGGACAGCCATTTGTCAGAAATAGTATAGGTCTCCTGCGTGAGCAGGGGGTTGGACTAGATGACCTCCGAGGTCCCTTCCAAATCTGTTACTGTTAGTTACCGTCAAGGTGTTATCTAGCAGTTCAGAAATTCCAGTCAGCATAGCTGTGCAGGAGAGCCCTGAATGCAATTTTCACTGTTCCTTCTGTCACTGAATATTTTGGAGTTAAACGTTTAAACATATTTGTGCGTTTTAAAGAAAAAAAGGTCTGGGTATATGTGATTTTTTTTTTTAAAAAAAATGCAAGCAATGATGAAAAAGGAACAGAATCCAAAATTAAAAAACAGATTTATGCACACCCGTGTCTCTCAGTGTTAAGCACAACGCAAGTGCTCCCTACGCACAGTCACTCAAGCACTCGTCACCTCTCGTCTGGACTATTGTAACGCTCTCTACATGGGGCTCCCCTTGGGGTACACCCGGAGGCTCCAACTGGTGCAGAATGCGGCCGCGCGGGGGATTATGGGAGCGACGGGGCGCTCCCATGTGACTCCTCTCCTGCGCGAACTGCATTGGCTTCCGGTGGACTTCTGGGTGCGCTTCAAGGTGTTGGTGATCACCTTTAAAGCGCTCCATGGTTAGGGCCGGGGTACTTACGGGACCGTCTTCTGCCACCAATAGCCTCCCACCGGCCAGTTCGCTCCCACAGAGAGGGCCTCTTCAGGGTGCCGTCGGCCAGACAATGTCGGTTGGCGACCCCCAGGGGGAGAGCCTTTTCTATGGTGGCACCTACCCTCTGAAACAATCTACCCCCAGAGATACGAGTGATCTCCGACCTCCGGACTCATCTCTTTCAGTTAGCCGGTCTCTCTTGATTTTATGATTTTATGGTTGGTTTTAAATTTTGATATGGATTTTAAATTGATAAATTTTAAACTATGGGCCAAATTTAATTATTTTAAATCTATTTTTAATCGTACTTTATGTATAAATGCTTTTATTTTGGCTGTTCACCGCCCTGAGTCCGAAAGGAGAAGGGCGGTATAGAAATTAGAATAATAAATAAATAAATAAGTTGTCTCTTTTAACAATTCTGTTTTCCTCTTACGCTTTCAACATGTTTTCCACTTCGCAGCTGAACATTGGATGCACGGATCAGTTCAGTAGCTCTGCCCCAGTTCTTCTTCAGTATTCCCACGACGCCGGCTTGTCTTGGTCACTGGTGAAGGAGGGCTGCTTCCCAGCATCCCCTGGGGTGAAAGGATGCGAAGGGAGCACCCGGGAATTGACAGAGCCAACCATGTATTATGCGGGAGACTTTGAAGAGTGGACAAGGATCACCATTGTCGTGCCGAGATCGCTCGCTGCTAGGTAATTGAGCTATTTATTGATTTAAACCCATTTATGTCACCATCCATCTCACAACAGGTAGTCCTCAACTTACAACAGTGATGTCAGGGTTCCGACAGATGCCTTAATTAAATCATGAGCCTCAGGCCAACCTTCAAAAGAAATCCAGTTATTTATTAGGAGCAACATGTCGGCACATTCCAGGTGAAGCCAACTCTGACCCCACGTAATTTACGCCCCAATCATGACGCTGTTTCCCTCCTTCCCCCACGGTGTGTCATCAATCACATTCGCCAACAGAGCAATTTCGCAGGTTGTAGAGATCACTCCCCTCCAGCCGCTGTGGGTAACCCTGGAAGACAGCCTTGAGTGAGATATGTCTGGAATGTGCTCCTGTCTTTGGCTGCCATGCTGCTTCGTCAGTTTCCCACCCACCCCTTTGTCTATGGCAACTCGAGAGCAGGCCAGGGATGCTTTGCGAGTTGACAAGTGAGTTTAGTGACCATTCAAAGTTACAACAGCACTGAAAAATGTGACTTACAACCGTTTTTCGAAGTTATGACTTCTGCAACATTCCCATGATCAAAACTCAGACACTTGGTAACTGGTTCCTCTTTATGACGGGCTCAGTGTCCCGGGGGTCACTTGTTCCTCTTTTGTGACCTTCTGACAAGCATAGTCAAAGGGGGAGCCAGATTCACTTAACAACCGGGTTACTAACTTATCAACTGCAGGGAGTTACAACCCCAACAAAGGCCACCATTTATGTTGCTAAAGTGAAACATTGATTCAGTGACTTTTCTTGCCACAGTGGTTAAGTGAATCATTGCATTTTTTAAAAAAGTTGGTAACCTGTTTGTTAAGCGAATCTGGCTTCCCCGTTGACTTCGCTCATCAGAAGGTCGGAAAAGCAGATCACGTGATCCCAGGACACTGCAGCCGTCATAAATATGAATCAGTTGCCAAGCATCTGAATTTTGATCAGCTGACCACGGGGATGCTTCAACTGTCATAAGCTCACTTTTTTCATTGCCATTGTGACTTTAAATGGTCACTAAATGAATTGTTATAAGTCGAGGACTACCTGTATTTTACAAGACTCCAGAAACTAGATTGGAAACCAGAACAGCTGCATCGCCAAGGTCAAACCATGTTCTTTGAGATGCCCAGACAATATTAGAATGTCCTTTTCTTCTAACTTTAACTCTTTCTCGGAAACTAAAATCCTTTACAATGAGTTTATTGTAGTTATTAATTCTGAACATAAGGTGGGAGAATTCCACGAAGTATAAAATCTTAGTAAGGCCACACCTGGAATACTGCATCCAGTTTTGGGCGCCACGATATACTGTAAAAAAAGATGTGGAGACTCTAGAAAGAGTGCAGAGAAGAGCAACAAAGATGATTAGGGGACTGGAGGCTAAAACCTATGAAGAACAGTTGCAGGAACTGGGTATGTCTAGTTTGATGGAAAGAAGGACTAGGAGAGACATGGTAGCATTGTTCCAATATTTGAGGGACTGCTTTAAAGAAGAGGGGCTCAACCTATTTTTCTAAAGCATCAGAAGGCAGGATAAGAAGCAATGGATGGAAACTAATCCAGGAGAGAAGCAACTTAGAACTAAGGAGAAATTTCCTGACAGTTAGAACAATTAACCATTGGAACAACTTGCCTCCAGAAGTTGTGAATGCTCCAACACTGGAAGTTTTTAAGAAGATGTTGGATAACCATTTGTCTGAAGTGGTGTAGGGTTTCCTGCCTAAGCAGGGGGTTGGACTAGAAGACCTCCAAGGTCCCTTCCAGCTCTGTTATTCTGTTCTGTTTTGTTCGGAACCATCTTCCAAGATTAGTACAAATAGCTAAAAATTCAACAAACAAATGTACTTGCCATATTTGTTTATTTATTTATTTTTAAATTGGATCTCTTCTCTTTCTTCAACAGCCTGGCCAAATGTATTTTATCTTCTTGTCTAAGTGTTTTTAGACCGTCTCCTTCTGTTAGTCCATTAACAAATAATTACAGAACAAGGCATGCTGTACAGTTTAGAGAACGTGGTAGGGCTAAATCACATAAACAGTGAGCATCCCCCTCGAAAGTATTTTCCTTTAATTAACCAACAAACACAATTGCCAACTCACACAGACACTAATGAGATTGCTTTGCCCAACGGAAAAAGTACCCAATCGATAAGAAGGCAGCCTGTTTCGCATTATGTCTGTCATATAACTGGGACGAGGCACCCGACTCGAAAGTACATTTCTCAGCTCCCCAAGAATGCTAATCAAGCTAATCAGCATAATTGCATTTATCGATTGCAATTACAGATGGGATATTATTCCGCGCCTTCCCTGTATCCATTCTATAACAGTTGTGACAGATTTGCACCCAGATCTAAAAATATTCCCTTTGGAATCAGTTCCATTAAATGGTAATGGAGTCTATTCAAAGTTGTCGTGTGTTATGGGAACATTTCTTTGTTATATATATAAATTCTGCCTACAACCTGTTCAGAGCAATAGATAGATTCTTCGTGTGGTATTTTCCGTCGGTATACTAGCGAAATCCATCTGTCGAGTTTCATGGATTATCGTGTGCTCAATTTTACCAAGTTTTCTTTTGACTCCTTCCATTGTAGGATGCCAATGTCTAAATTCAGATTATCCAATTTGGGGGTTAGGTTTTTTTTTTTTTAAGAGTGGAGAAGGAGATGGCATTGCTTCCCTACCATTGAGGCTGTTGAATAGGGTAGGGTAAGGTACAGTGGTGAAATCCAAATTTTTTTACTACCGGTTCTGTGGGCGTGGCTTGGTGGGCATGCTGTGGCTTGGTGGGCGTGGCTTGGTGGGCGTGGCAGGGGAAGGATACTGCCAAATCTCCATTCCCACCCCACTCCAGGGGAAGGATATTGCAAAATCCCCATGAGGTTGACTCATCCTTCCATCCTTTCGAGGTAGGTAAAATGAGGACCCGGATTGTGGGGGCAATAAACTGACTTTGTATAAAAAAAGAACACCGCTTAAGGGGGGGCCAAAAGCCCTACTAAGCAGGTATATACAAAAAGTATGAAGGCTATTGCTTAACGCATTGTAAGCCGCCCTGAGTCTCCGGAGAAGGGTGGCATATAAATCGAACCAATAAATAAATAAATAAATAAATAAATTCCCTCCCCACTCCTGGGGAAAGGATATTGCAAAATCCCCATTCCCACCCCACTCCGGGGGGAAGGATATTGCAAAATCCCCATTCCCTCCCCACTCCTGGGGGAAGGATATTGCAAAATCTCCATTCCCACCCCACTCTGGAGCCAGCCAGAGTGCCAGTTCTCCGAACTGCTCAAAATTTCCGCTACCGGTTCTCCAGAACCTGTCAGAACCTGCTGGATTTCCCCCCTGGGTAAGGAAGAGCAGGGCAGAGCAGGGTGGGGGATTGGATGAGATGAGATGAGATGAGATGAGAGATGGGATGGCATGACATGACATGATATTTATTCTGAATGCCAGAGAGGAGAGAGACTAGTGGGTGCCATGAGTTTATGGCACATTGCTGCCCACGGATACCACCTATTTTACTCTGTGCTTGACACAATAGCAATAGCACTTAGACTTATATACCACTTCACAGTGCTTTACAGCCCTCTCTAAGCGGTTTACAGAGCCAGCACATTGCTCCCAACAATCTGGGTCCTCATTTTATCAACCTTGGAAGGATGGAAGGCTGAGCCAACCTTGAGCTCATTCAGGATCGAACTCCTGGCTGTGGTCGGAGTCCGTCTGCAATACTGCATTCTAACCACTGCGCCACCACGACTCACCATGTTATTTCAACATAATGATATTGATTCAGTCATTCCAACACAGTAGTTTAAAAATAATAAAGTTTTCATGATTTTGTAGTTATACAGTCTTGTTTTGAGCCAGGAATCAAGCAAATTGTATTTTTTTTATATATTGGGTTTTTTTATTGTTTATAAGCTGCCCAGAGTGTCACGGAGAGTGAGTGGGTGGCCATATAGAAGGAAGGAAGCAAGGAAGGAAGGAAGGAAGGAAGGAAGGAAGGAAGGAAGGAAGGAAGGAAGGAAGGAAGGAAGGGGAGAGAGAGAGAGAGAGAGAGAGAAGAAAGAAAGAAAGAAAGAAAGAAAGAAAGAAAGAAAAAGAAAGAAAGAAAGAAAGAAAGAAAGAAAGAAAGAAAGAAAGAAAGAAAGAAGGAAAGAAGGAAAGAAAGGTAGATGGATGTAGATGATCAGCCACCCAGAGTCACTCTAGTAATCAGATGGGCATCATATAGATAAGTAAATAAGTAAAATTATGTGCATCCCATTATCTCATGGAACATACTATACCCGTGATGGCAAACCTATGGCACACATGCCATAGGTGCCACACAGTGCCCTCTCTGTGGGCACGCGAGCCATCGCCCCAATTCAGCTCTGACATGCATGCAGGTGTGCCTCCCGCCGACTAGCTGGTTGTCGGGTCTCTGCCACACATGCACAGGGGGGAGGGCCACATGCAGGGGCCACGTGCGCATGCATGGGGGGGCGTGTGCATGTGTGGGAATCGGGACACTTGCAGGAGACCCTGCACGCATGCACGGGGCAGCACATGCGCGGGGCATTCAGGGGCGCATGTGTGGGGGGCGTGCAGGCATTGGATTTTGGGCGTTCGGGCGCGTGCTTTGGGCACTTGGTCCAGAAAAGGTTAGCCATCACTGTGCTTTACGATTGTCTTGGAGATATCTAAGCCCACAGAACAACCTGGATATGTCTTTGGAGGGCCCGTTTTCAAAGAAAGCAGCAACAGCTTTGGTATTTCTGTCCCCCTCGTGTAGGAAGACCAGATTCCGCTGGATACAAGAGAGCCGTTCGCAAAAGAGCCTTCCCCCCTTTGGCTTGGACGGAGTGTATATTTCAGAGCCGTGCCCCAACTACTGCAATGGACAGGGAGACTGCATTTCCGGCGTCTGTTTTTGTGACATGGCCTATACAGGTAAGCTTTAACGCGTAGAGTCACATTGGCGAACCGATAGGGAAAGTAAGTGAATAGCAGCCCTGACTAATATTTGTTTGTTTGTTTCAGTGGTGAAATCCAATTTTTTTTACTACCAGTTCTGTGGGCGTGGCTTGGTGGGCGGGGTGTGGCTTGGTGGGCGTGGCAGGGGAAGGATCCTACAAAATCTCCATTCCCACCCCACTCCAGGGGAAGGTTATTGCAAAATCCCCATTTCCTCCCAATCAGCTGGGACTCGGGAGGCAGGGAATAGATGGGTCAGAATTTTTACTACCGGTTTACTCCGAACTACTCAAAATTTCCGCTACTGGTTCTCCAGAACTGGTCAGAACCTGCTGAAACTCACCTCTGGGTGAGGTCAACAGTAGACAGTCTAAGGTTAAAGTTTTGGGGGTTTGGGGAAGAAACTACAGAGTCAGATAGGGCATTCCAGGCATTGACCACTCTGTTGCTGAAGTCGTATTTTCTGCCATCAAGTTTGGAGCAATTTACCTTGAGTTTGCATCTATTACTTGGTCGTGTATTGTTGTGGTTGAAGCTGAAGTAGTCATTGACAGGTAGGACATTGTGGCAGATAATTTTATATACTACACTTAGGTCAGACCGAAGACGGTGTAGTTGTCTAAACCCAAAATTTCAAGTCTGGTGGCATAAGGTATTTTATTGCGAGTAGAGGGACTCTTCTCGTGAAATATCTCTGGACTATCTCAATTGTATTTATGTCCGATATGCAGTGCGGGTTCCAGACAGATGAGCTGTATTCAAGAATTGGTCTAGCAAATGTTTTATTTATTTATTTATTTATATGCCACCCTTCTCCGGAGATTCAGGGCGGCTTACAATGCGTTAAGCAATATGTTATGTATGCTCTAGTTAAATAGTACAATATTACTATTGTAGAAGAAGCTACGCAAGATTAGGTTAACAACTCTTAATGCCTTTTTGGCAATGTTGTTACAGTGGGCTCTGGTACTTAGATCTTTAGAAATGAGTACTCCAAGGTTAATTAATATATTATATTAATATGTATTAATATAATATATCAGTAATATAATATACTGCATATATAATATTTGTTTGCCAGTTCTTGACCTTTGCATTGAAGATTTTCTTCCAAAATGTATCCCCTATATATATATATATTATTTCTTTTTCTGAAGCTTCACATGGGACCTGTGTGTCTAATGTACCTAATCCCAGCGAGATGTTTGACAGATTTGAGAGGAAGTTGAGTCCCCTTTGGTACAAGATAACTGGAGCTCAAGTTGGAAATGGCTGCGGAATATTGAGTGATGGGAAATCTCTTTACTTTGGTGGATCGGGCAAAAGAGAAGCACGAACCGTCTCTCTGGATACCACCAGCATCAGGTTAACTCTATATTTTGTTTTTAAAAGCTTCATTTTGCCATAGGTTTTACAGGACCATGAAAAATTCAGATTTTTTCTGTTTTAGAGGGACAATGTTTTAGATTACGGCTCTCCAACCTCAGCCATTTTAAGACTTGTGGACTTCAACTCCCAGAATTCTCAGCCAGCAACGCAGAATGATGGGGAACGCTGGCTGAGGAATTCTGGGAGTTGAAGTCCACAAGTCTTAAGGTGGCCGAGGTTGGAGATCCCTGTTTTAGATGAAATAATGTCTCATTTTCAATGATTTTGAAGAGTCACATGCATCATCTACATACAGATAGCATAGCTATTATAAGAGGTTAAAGTGATATAAGAAGTCCTCAACTTACAACTACAATTGAGCCCAAAATTTCTGGTAAAATTGCTAAGCGAGATAGTTGCTAAGTGAGTTTTGCCCTGTGTTACAACCTTTCTTGCCACGGTTATTAAGTGAATCACTGTAGTTGTTAAGTTAGTAACACGGTTGTTAAGTGAATCTGGCTTCCCCATTGATTTTGCTCGTCAGAAGATCTCAAAAGGGAATCCCATAACCCTGGGACAGCGCAACTGTCATAAATATGAGTCAGTTGCCAAGAATCTGAATTCTGATCACGTGATCAGGGGGAATGCTGCAACGGTCATAAGTGTGAAAACTGGACACGTCACTTTTTTCAGTGCCGTTGTAACTTTGAATGGTTACTAAATAAATTACCTGTATTACATTTCTGGTTCTACAGAGTGAACTTACTTAAGAATTACAATACAATGCTATATACCCGTGATGGTGAACCTATGGCACGCGTGCCCCAGGTGGCACCCAAAGCCATATCAGTGGGCACATGAGCGTTGCCCTAGCTGAGCTTTGGCACGCATGCACGTGCTGGCCAACTGATTTTCGGGCCTTCTGGGCCCACTGGAAGTCGGGGAAAAAGGATGTTTCCAGCCTCTGGCAGGCCTCAAGGGGGGTGGGGAAGGCCATTTTCGCCCTCCCCAGGCTCCTAGAAAGGCTCTGGAGCCTGGGGAGAGTGAAAAATGGGCCTACCGTGCCATCGCAGGCCAAAAGCGGGGGGAGCGCACGGGTGTCGCGCATCCATGCACCGGGGGGGCGCACTGGATGCGGGCACGCACCCAGTGCGCGGGCACGATCCTCCTTGTTCTCCCCGCTTTTGGCACGCAACAGTAAAAAGGTTAGCCATCCCTGCTATATACGCCTGATCAGTAATACTTTATACTCACTGCCGAAGATATTTATCTGAAATTGCAAAATCACAGTGCAGTACTTCATTCAGCCATCAGAAATATTCACATGTTTTCACTTAACGGTAATGTCAGTTGTTCTTTATAAGAATAACTGAACAAAGGTCTATGTTTTCCCGAAAATAAGACCCTGTCTTATTTTTTTTTTGAACCCCAAAATAAGTGCTTGGCCTTATTTTCGGGGAGGGCTTATTATTTTGGGGCACGTGGAGGAAACCAGAGGAAATGGTGGGGACCAGCTGCGCATGCATTGAAATATTTTCGGGGAGGGCTTATTTTAGTGCATGCGCTCAAAAGCCTGATTGGGCTTATTATCAGGGGATGTCTTATTTTCAGGGAAACAGGGTATATAAAATTATTTATTTATTTATTTATTTATTTTATTTTTTAAATTTTTATACTGTCCCCTCTCCCGAAGGACTAAATGCTAAATACCGGGAAATTATATTTGATGGAACAATTCCCAAGCTTTAAAGATGTGGTGTTTTTTTTTTCTCCCAAACTAACTTTTTAAACTTTTTTTTTTTTTAAAAAACAGACTAGTTCAGTTCTATGTTCAGATTGGAAGCAAAACAGCTGGTACAGACTGCAACAGACCCCGAGCCAGGAACGAAGGTAAATTCATTTTTATTTTGTTAGCTACATAACTTAGTTAAAAACGTTGTGTGGATAACATGTGTTCTTTTTTTATAAAGACCATAAAGCTGTTTTAAACATAATAAGCAGGTATTAAACGTAATAACTATCAAAACATTTATCAATACTGTGTGGTTAGAAACGTGTAATCCAAGCTGGTTCTTCTGAGCCCAAAATTTCCACTGTTCTTAAATGACTTTTGACGCACTGTACGAGCTTTTTTTGCGACAGTTGTTAAGCGATTTCCTGCACTTGTTAAGTGAAACATGAGTTTGTTAAGTGAATCTGGCTTCCCCCCCCCCCCATTGCTTTTGCTTGTCGGAGCTCGCTAGGAAGGTCACAAAAGCTGATCACATGACCTCAGGACACTGCAGCTGTCCTAAGTTTGAGTCGGTCACCTACCGTCTGAATTTTGATCATGTGACCATGGGGATGCGGCCGAAAGTGTGAAAGACGGTCATAGCTCACTTTTTTTCACTGCCGTTGTAACTTTGAACGGTCACTAAATGAACTGTTGTAAGTCAAGGACTACCTGCATTCTGTCGCAATTTGGAACGCTATTCTTGTTCTGCCCCAGCTACAGACCCCAAAGAACGCAGCACACACAAAGTCCGTTCAAACCTTAGTTTACTGAATAAACCAGTCTTTTACAACAACGGCTGTTAATTAACTGCATTAACAGCTGCCAAGAATTCAAAGAATAATAACTGAAATCTTACTATGGTTGGCAGAATGCCCAGAAGCAATTTGCAGGAAGCTGATAAGATAAGCAAGACAAGACACGAAGGTATGTGAACAAAGTTGTTCCCTGCAAATTGCTGCAATTGGCATTCCTCCTTAAATAGGCTAAGGGAATGGTCAATTAGCCCCAAGCCTTACTCTCGGGGAGACCTCCTCCTGAGGAGCCACTCCTGCCTTTTGGCAGCTCTGCGCGCCCGTGCATCGAGAAGAGGCTCCTCCTCTTTGTCCTCTTCACTTAAGGGAGCTTCTGGAGGTTCTGAAGGCCCTGGCTGAATCCCTGCCTCTGGCACCACATCTTCTCCAGCCTCCTCATTATCCGACTCGAGTGCCAGCTTCACAGGCTGCTGGCGCAGCACACCAGCCTCCTCGCTGTCTGAATCAGCTACTAGCTGCACAGGCCGCTGACGGGCCACAACAATTCTACACATAAAAATGCTTGGCTTCAGGTGTAATTCTCAGGCCACGGACTTCTCAAGTTCATTCAAACTGCTGCCATTTAAAATATAAATCTTGACAAGTAAATCTTGACAAGTAGTAACAGAATATCCAAAACCATTAAATGACAGGTAATCTTCCACCTTCATCCACTATTGGGAGTAGAATTTCGATTTGTAAGCACGGCAGCCGTTAAGGGAGTCATGGCAACCTTTTTCTTTTATGGTTGTTAAGTGAATCTATAGTTGTTAAGTGAATCACACAGTTGTAAGTGAATCTGGTTTCTCCCATTGACTCTGTATGTCAGAATCTGGCTGGGATGTTGCAACCATCATAAATACAATTGCCAAGCGTCTGAACTGAATTTTGATCAAGAGACCTTGGGAATGCTTTTATTGGGGATTTTACCAGAAATATACAATAGAGAAATGAGATATTTAATTGTGAATGTTTTAACTGCAGCTAGAATTGTATTTGCTAGAAACTGGAAAGGTGAGAAGATACTCACGGATGATGACGTTATCAAGAAAATTTTGGAGTGTGCTGAAATGAGTATATTGACATTTGAAATTAGGGAACAAGAAGATAAACAATATTATTTGATATGGGATTTATTTTATCAATGGTTAGACAAGAAAGAATGGAAATGAAATATGAAATATGAAATGGATAAGATAATAAAACATATAAAGGGTTTTTTTTCCCCCCCCTTATAGAGGACAATTTATTGTTAAATAATTGGTAAATGAGAATAATAATGTAATAAACTGTTAAATAAGAAAATGTGGGATAGAGGATTAAGCACAAAAGATTCGTAACCGATCAATACACTTTCTGTAATTGTAATGGATGACAATTGTTTTATGTTTTAAGTTTTGTTTAGAAATAAAAAAAAATTCAAAAAAAAAAAGAGAGAGAGACCTTGGGAATGCTGGGATCGTCATAAGTACGAGGACCGGTTGCAAATCGCTTTTTTTTTCAGTGCTGCTGTAACTTTGAACGGTCACTGAACGAATAGCTGTAAGTCGAGGACTACCTGTAATGGATTCTACATTTGTGGAATGCAGATGTTGCATCATCAGTAGGTCTCAGATAGGCATTAGATCCCAAGTTTGCTACAGAGCCCTTAAAATGATGTTTTATTTCTTTTTGATTCATAGGGCTTGTGGTCCAGTATTCCAATGACAATGGAATCAGCTGGACGTTGCTACGAGAGTTGGACTTTTTGTCTTTCTTGGAACCACAGATTGTCTCTATTGAATTGCCCCGGGAAGCCAAAACCTCAGCCACCGCATTTCGGTGGTGGCAACCTCAGCATGGTTGGTATATAGAGTGACATATCATGCCTATATAATTTTTCCATTCAATTAATTAATATAGATAGTATCATTCGGGTCCTAGTAATTCTGCAGGAATAGTGTCAACACTTGGGATGGATGGATGGATGGATGGATGGATGGATGGATGGATGGATAGAAGATGGATGGATGGATGATAGATAGATAGATAGGTAGATAGATAGATGAGAGAGAGAGAGATGATAGAAGATAGATAGATAGATAAGATAGATAGATAGATAGATAGATAGATAGATAGATAGATAGATAGATAGATAGAAAGAGAAGATAGGTGGTGGATGGATGGATGATAGATAGAAAGATAGATAGATGATAGATAGATAGATAGACAGACAGATAATAGATAGAAGATGGATGGATGGATGATAGATAGATAAGAGATGAGAGATAGATAGATGAGAGAGAGGTGAAGATAGATAGATAGATAGATAGATAGATAGATAGATAGAGAAAAGAAAGAAAGAAAAAGAAAGAAAGAAAAAAGAAAGAAAGATAAAAGATAGATGGATGGATGACAGATAGATAGATAGGTAGGTAGATAGATGGAGAGAGAGAGATGATAGAAATAGATAGATAGATAGATAGAAGATAGATAGATAGATAGATAGATAGATAGATAGATAGATAGATAGATGATAGATAGAAGATAGGTGGATGGATGGATGATAGATAGAAGATAGATAGATAGATAGATAATAGATAGAAGATGGATGGATGGATGATAGATAGATAAGAGATGATAGATAGATGAGAGAGAGAGATGATAGATAGATAGATAGATAGATAGATAGATAGATAGATAGATAGATAGATAGATAGATGAGAGAGAGAGAGATGATAGATAGAAGATAGAAGATATATATAGAGAGAGAGATGAGAGAGATAGAGAGATAGAGAGATGATAGAATAACTTTATTGTCACTTTAAATGTACACTAATCGGCATACATTAAAATGAAATTTCATTCCTTATAGCTCTCAAAGGGGTTACCACCTCGAATATACACTACATAAACTTGACAAAAAGTCTTATTGTTTGGCAGTTGGATCATCGTCCGTATGATCTCTTCCTCTATTTCTATTTCTACTCCTCTTTTCTCGCCATCTGTTCTTGACGCTTTGTTAGTCAGACAGTTCTTTCCCTTGGGCTTATTTTTAATGATGCCTCTAAGGAGCAATAAATGATCTTTTCGACTTGCATAAATGCATTCCTGGTGTGACCAATTCATGATGGCTCCGTGGTTAAAGACGTTAAGCTTATCCAGCCCAGGTTCGAGACCCGAGTGCCACAGGATGGGGTGAGCTGCCGTTCCTTGCTTCAGCTCCTGACCAACCTAGTAGTTCAAAAGCATACAAATTTCGAATAGATAAATAGATACCACTTTGGTGGGAAGGTGACAGCATTCGTGCACCTCGGTCAGAGGTGGTATTCAGCCAGTTCGGACCGATTAGGGCAAACTGGTAGTGGAAATCGCCCGGCCTCAAAAACATGCCTAAATAGGACGGCATAGAGCTGGGGCGAGGGGTGGGGGGCACCCACGATTTCCGCTACCAGTTCGGGTGAACCGGTCTGAACCGGCTGAATACCACCTCTGCTCGGCACCCAACTGGTTCCGTACCATAACTTAAATAAAATAATGAATAAAGAATAACCATTGTGTTCTTTTCTTGTTTGTTTCTAGGAAAGCATTCAGCCCAATGGGCTTTGGATGACGTGCTTGTAGGCATGAACGACAGCTCTCCAATGGGTTTTCAAGATAAATTTGACGGCTCTGTAGATTTGCAGTCTAATTGGTACCGGGTTCAAGGGGGTCAGGTCGACATTGATTGTCTGTCTATGGATACCTCTCTCATCTTCAGTGAAAATATAGGTAAGGCTCAAATCGCGGCAAAGAGCACACATTTCATCCTTTTGTTTCGTTTTGTTGTGAAAAGCCCAGCATTTTCAAGTTTTGAAATATTGGATACATTTGTACATTCGCGTTGATTATACTAATCCTTTTTCCCGTAGGCCAGAGGCCTACTTTTGGTCCGCGGCCCACTACGGGGCCATGGGGGTAATTGCCACTGGGCTGTGTGAAGGGACTGCCAGTGCACGCGCTGTCAAGGTTCCGACCAATGCCCTAATTAAATCATGGGCCTCAAGCCAAGCTTCAAAAGAAATCCAGTTATTTATTAGGAGCTTCATGTCGGCACATTCCAAGTGAAGCCAACTCTGACCCCACATAATTTACGGCCCAGATTTGACCCTGTTTCCCAACCTCCCCTCAGGGTGTGTCATCAGTCACATTCACTAAGGGAGCAATTTCGCAGGTTGTAGAGATCACTCCCCTCCGGCCACTGTGGGTAACCCTGGGAGACAGCCTTGAGAGAGATCTGTCTGGAATGTGCTTTTGTTTTTTGGCTGCTGTGCTGCTTCGCCGTTTTCCCATTCCACTTGCCTATGACAACTTGAGAGCAGGCCAGGGATGCTTTGCGAGTTAACACATGTTTTGGCTCGTAGCCCCACTCATGTTTTGCCTCACATGCTTGCGGGCCCCCTTGCTCAAATGTCATCACGAATGTTGCAGGCACTTATGCGCGTGCACATGTGCGCACATGTGCTTGCCCCTCCCACAAAATCATCCCCTCTTTCCTCCATCCCTCCTCTTCTGGGCCACCAACCCAGAAGGGTTGGGGAACTCTGCCATAGGCAACATTATACAAAGTTCACAAAAGGGAAAAAGTCATACTAAGTAAACAAAGATGTTCAAAAAGTGAAGTCTGAATGTTAGCCATGATCTTGTGATTGAAGTCGTCCTGCTTGTATGTCTATCATGGTTAACATCCGGACTTTTTGGACCAAAGTCTGAAGATACCACCCACTCCACCCATAAGCCTGTACAGGTAGTCCTCAATTTACGACTCCGATTGAGCCCAACATTGCTGTTGTTAAGCAAGACATTTGTTCAGTGAGTTTTGCCCCGTTTTATGACCTTTCTTGCCACAGTTGTTAAGTGAATCACTGCAGTTGATTAGTTAGTCACCCGGTTGTTAAGTGAATCTGGCTTTCCCCGTTGACTTTGCTTGTCAGAAGGTCGTAAAAGGGGATCACGTGACCCTGGGACACTGCAACCGTCATAAATGTGAGTCAGTTGCCAAGCATCTGAATTTTGATTACATGATAACGGGAATGCTGCAAAGGCGGTAACTGTGAAAAACCCTCATGTCACATTTTTCAGTGCCGTCGTAACCTTGAATGGTCACTAAATGAACTGTTGTAAGTTGAGGACTACCTGTAGATCAAGGTGGGCAATAATAATAGAAGAACAGAGTTGGAAGGAATCTTGGAGGTCGACCACCTAATTAAGCAGGACACCATAACTTTTGTTCCTTTTTTCCCCTTAATTTAATTTAATTTAATTAATTCAATTTATATGCCGCCCCTCTCCGAAGACTCAGGGCAGCCCTTGAAACCTTTGAAGGAAATATAAGCTATTATTTATTTATTTATTTATTTATTTCAATTTCTATACCGCCCTTCTCCAAATAGGACTCAGGGCGGTGAACAGCCAAAGTAAAAACAGGACATACAAAATTTAAAAACAGTTTAAAATAATTAGATATTTTGGCCGTAAATTAAAACAACCCAATTTAAAATCAATTTAAAATTTAACTCAAGCCAGCCCAGCTAGTTGAAATAGATAGGTTTTCAGGGCCTGACGAAAATAATGTAATTATTTTACATTTATAAATTACATTTATAGATGTAATTAATCATTAATCAGAATAGAGCTGGAAGGGACTGTTGGAAGAAATGTCCATTTGGGTTCAGTTCCAAGTGGGGGAAAAAAGACACTGGATTCATGGAAGTTGCTTGGAAAGAAGGTTTATTTATTTATTTTATTTATTTATTTATTATATTTCTATACCGCCTTTCTCCCGTAGGACTCAAGGAGGTGTACAGTCAAGAAAAATATAGATACACAAACATCATAAAATTGCTAATTAAAATTATTATTATAACATAGTTTGGCCCAAGTAAATAGAACCTAAAATTAGATAACATTTTAAAAACATTCACGTGTTCATATGTTTAACCCCGCCTGTTGGAACATCAGGGTTTTGAGAGCACGGCGGAAAGCACGGATTATTGATGGACAGGATCACACGGCTTGAGATCCTGGGCCAAAAAAGGGCAGAGAGTGCTGAGAGTTCCTGGGTTTTATGCCCTCTGTTGGGCGTTGAATTTGAGCTTGGTTGTCAGACTCCCATGGGGCCAGTAGGTTGTCTGTGTCCCAGGCTTGGTTGACTCTTGCTGGGTGATGATGTAATGAAAGGGCTTTGAGCAATTCCTCCAATGGCTCTTCCTGAAGGAGGTAGATCTTTGTTACGTAGAATAGACTGGCCCAGGTCTTAATTGACAAGGTGGAGGTGGGGGGCTGAGTTTCTGCCTCCCTTTTAGGGGAAATATTCTGCCCTTTTAATATTTCCTAAAATATCTCATTTTCCTAGGAGACGGGTGGGTGCTAACTTCCTATAGGACCTTGGAATCTCAAGCAGGAGATTCTATACCATTTCAGACAGGTGGCTGTCCAACATCTTCTTAAAAACCTCCAGTGATGAAGCACCCACAACTTACTAAAGGCAAACCACTCCACTAGTTAATTGTCCTCACTGTTAGGAAGTTTCTCCTTAATTCCAGGTTGCTTCTCTCCTTGGTTAGTTTCCACCCATTGCTTCTTGTCCTGCCTTCTGGTGCTTTGGAGAATAGCTTGACTGCCTCTTCTTTGTGGCAGCCCCTGAGATATTGAAACACTGCTATCATGTCTCCCCTAGTCCTTCTTTTCTCTAGACTAGCCAGACCCAGTTCCTGCAACCGTTCTTTATATGTTTTAGTCTCCAGGCCTTTAATTATCTTACGAAAAAATTAATTACGGAAAACAAAATACAATACTTAATTATACATATCACAACAGCAGCGAGAATAATACATGCACAAAATTGGAAAAATAATAATATACCAACAGAAGAAAACTGGATAAGAAAAGTTTTAGAGTGTGCAGAGATGGATAAACTCACAAAAGAAAGACAAGATAAGGAGGAAACAGAATATTACATGGTATGGGATAAATGGTATGAATGGTTAGAAGAGAGGTATAAAGGGCAAGGGAAGATTAAATGAGGAAGAAACAGGAGTTTGACTACAGTAACAAATATGTAGAAAGGGAACGGACACAATGCACGATTGTAATTTAGTACATGGATATTTTCATATGTATAAATAAATATTAGAATCACATGTATAAATAGTAAATGGAAAAAAGGGAGCAAAATGGATATATAAGAAATGAAAACAAGGAAAGAGCCTTGGTGGCGTAGCAGACTAAAGTGCTGTTAAGTAACACCAGCTGCCTGCAATTACTGCAAGTTCAAATCTCACCAGGCTCAAGGTTAACTCAGCCTTCCATCCTTTCGAGGTAGGTAAAATGAGGACCTGGATTGTGGGGGCAATAAGCTGACTTTGTATATAAAAAGAACACCGCTTTGGGGTGGCCAAAAGCCCTACTAAGCAGGTACATTCAAAAGTATGAAGGCTATTGCTTAACGCATTGTAAGCCGCCCTGAGTCTCCGGAGAAAGGCGGCATATAAATCGAACCAAGAAAGAAAGAAAGAAAGAAAGAAAGAAAGAAAGAAAGAAAGAAAGAAAGAAAGAAAGAAAGAAAGAAAGAAAGAAAGAAAGAAAGAAGAAACAGGAGTTTGAATATAGTAACAAATATGTAGAAAGGGAAGGGACACAATGCATGATTGTAATTTAGTACATTGATATTTTCATATGTATAAATAGATATTAGAATCACATGTATAGATAGTAAATAGAAAAAAGGGAGAAAATAAGAAATGGATATATAAGAAATGAAAACTGATATGGAAATGTTGGAAAGAAAAAAATTGTAAAAATTTCATTTCTTTTGTTTTAAAAGAAACAATCTTATTTTAAAAAAAAATAATCTTAGCTGCTCTTCTTTTCTGTACACTCTTTTTTTTTTTTTTTAAGGAAAGCCTCGTTACGCGGAGACCTGGGATTTCCACGTGGCCGATTCCACCTTCATGCAGTTTGAGCTGAACATGGGCTGCAGCAAACCGTTCAGCGATTCCCACGGCATTCATTTCCAGTATTCCCTGAACAACGGGAGAGACTGGCATCTGGTGACGGAAGAGTGTGTGCCGCCCAGAATAGGCTGCCAACATTACACGCAGAGTTCGGTTTACAGTTCGGAAAGATTTCAGAATTGGAAACGGATCACGCTGTCGCTTCCTCCCGCAGCCATGTAAGACATAACCTCTGATGTACTACCGATAAAGGAGAATATTTGTAGCTCAGGGTCCTTGGTGCTCTCTGAGCTTGGTGGTTTGCTTGTAGACGTTTCATTACCATACTAGGTAACATCATCTCGCCTGGACTACGCTAACGCTCTCTACATGGGGCTCCCCTTGAGGAGCACCCGGAGGCTCCAACTGGTCCAGAATGCGGCTGCGCGGGTGATCACGGGAGCGACATGGCGCTCCCATATAACACCTCTCCTGCGCGAGCTGCACTGGCTCCCGGTGGTCTTCTGGGTGTGCTTCAAGGTGTTGGTTCTCACCTTTAAAGCGCTCCATGGCTTAGGGCCAGGGTATTTACGAGACCGCCTGCTGCTACCAATAACCTCCCACCGGCCAATACGCTCTCACAGAGAGGGCCTCCTCAGGGTGCCGTCGGTCAAGCAATGTCGACTGGCGGCCCCCAGGGGGAGAGCCTTCTCTGTGGGAGCACCCGCTCTCTGGAACGAGCTACCTCCCGGAATACGGCTGATTCCGGATCTCCGCACTTTCCGTAAGGCCCTGAAGACGTTTTTATTTCAGCAAGCCGGCCTGGCCTGAATAGGTTTTAGGGGTTTTTTAATTGTATCGCTAGGGGTTTTAAATTGGGGCGGCCATTTAATTTAATTTATTTTTAATTATTTTAACTTTTATATTGTATGTTATTTTAATTCTCGGCTGTTCACCGCCCTGAGTCCCTTCGGGGAGAAGGGCGGGATATAAATTTAATAAATGATAATAATAATAATAATAATAATAATAATAATAATAATAATAATAATCAGTGCTAGAAGGGAGGAGGAAGAGGAGGAGGAGGAGGAGGACTATGAAGGGCCCTTGGTGCTCTCTGAGCTTGCTTGTATTCTTGCAAACATTTCATGACCCAACTAGGTAACATCATCAGCGCTAGTAAGCAATGGGGTTTGCCTTCAATTTATATTCTAGCACAAGGGGTCCCCAACCCGGGGGCCAGGGACTGGCACTCGGCCGTGGCCTGCCAGAAACCGGGCCGCACAAACAAGCAAAGCCCCATCTGCGGGATGCAGGCAGCATATGAAACCAGCCCCCCCCCCCGATCCACAGAAAAAAACCCCGATGATAAGTTAGTAACCTGGTTGTTAAGTGAATCTGGCTTCCCCGTTGACTTTGACTTTGCCAGAAGGTCACAAAAGGGGACCACATGACACCCCCCCCCCAAGAAGACTGCAACCGTCGGTAAATATGAACCAGTTGCCAAGCGCCTGAATTTTTTAAATCACGTGATGGTTGGAAGCGTGAAAAACTTACATAAGTCATAAATCACTTTTTTTCCAGTGCTGTTGTTGAATGGTCACTGTCGCAAGTTGAGGATTACCTGTATAGGTAGAAGAACCATTAATGGCATAGAGGACCAGATAACATGTCTTTAAGTATTCCTGCTTAAGTGTAAGCTCTTTTGTAGGACAGTCACATACCCAATATCTCTTCTTTTCAGGCAGGGGTGGGATTAAAAAAATTTAGCAACCAGTTCTCTGCCCAGTTGCTGCGTGAGCATGGCCATGGTGGACGTAGTCTACTCGGCATCCTGCACCACGGCGGGCGGGGGGGGTTGCCCTCCCCAAGTTCCTAAGGCTTTCCTTGAGCTTCTGGGAGGGCGAAAATGGCCTCCTCTGGGCTCCGGAGGCCCTCTGGAGGCCAGAAATGGGTCCGTTTCTGGACTTCTGGGAGGCTCATTTTCCACCCTCCCCAGGCTCCAGCAGCTTTCCTTGAGCCTCCAGGAGCGTGAAAATGGCCTCCCCTGGGCTCCGGAGGCTCTCCGGAGGTCGGAAATGGGCCCATTTCCGGACTTCCGGAACTTCTGGGAGGCCCATTTTTCGCCCTCCCAGAGCCTCCACGTGGGCTCTGCAGTTAACTGGCATCCAAAGTGGGCCGCATGGAGATTCCTGGGAGGGGAGGGGTGGGGTGGACAGGGCCAGTCAATCCTTGCAACTACCGGTTTGGCGAACCAGATGTAAAATTAGCATCCGGTTCGCCCGAACTTGTCCAAACCAGCTGAATCCCTCCCCTGCTTCTTTTCCTTTATCTTCTATAACCGTAATGGCGAACCTATGGCACGCGTGCCACAGGGGGCATGAGGAGCCATGTTGCCTGGCACGCCAGCTGAGCTCTCTAGGAGTCTCTGGAGGTTGGGGACAGCAAAAAAGTCACTTCCTGTCCAACTGAAAGTTGGCAAATGGGCCATTTCGGGCCTCCAGAGGACCTCCGAGTGGGTGGGGAAGGTTGTTTTCGCCCTCCCCAGATGCATAGAGAGAATCTGGAGCCAGGTGAGAAAGAAAAACGGGCCTACTGGGCCATCATGTTCCAGGAGCGGGGGGGAGGGGGGTTAAGCGCAGATGACATTAAACATTAAACAGTAACATGCGTGGCACATAGAATTATGGGTTTGGGCACACGTGCGCACGAACCTTCCTCCCCCTTCCTGGCATGCGATGGCAAAAAGGTTAGCCATCACTGTTCTATAACCTTGCAATCTGATTTTTTTTCTTCCCACTCTCTATTGTTCAGGTCCCCCAGAACACGCTTCCGATGGATCCAACATGATTATACCCCTGGTGGGGATACTTGGACTATTGATAATGTCATCCTGGCTACCAGATGCCCCTGGATGTGTTCCGGTCATGGAATCTGTGATTCTGGACATTGTGTGTAAGAAAACAAAGATTATTAACATTTTTAAGAGGAGGAGGAGCAGATGTATTTGGGGCTAGTGTTAAGGTACAGCTGCTGAGAATTCTGGTTTTCTTTTAATGATGGGTATTAAGGATTAAGGACCCAAATGCATCCCCTTAACGAAGCAGCAATTACTGAAGAAGAAGCAGTCCCCGGTTACATCCCAAATGAGACCCTGGTTTATTGAAGGCATGGCTTCAACTCAAGTTGAGACTAAAGCAGGGCTCACCAACCTTTCGGACTTTAGGGACCACTAAATTCATAATTTTAAATCCCGCGGACCACTAATATAACCCTAACCCTAACCGATAAACCTCCCACCAACCAATACGCTCTCACAGAGTAGGCCTACTCATAGTACCATCATTAAAACAATGTCGTCTAATAGTTCTAAGGGAGAGAGCCTTCTCTGTGGGGGCACCTACTCTTTGGAACAGAATACCCCCTGGAATACGAATAATCCCAGATCTTCGCACTTTCTGACGTGCCCTGAAGACCTTTCTGTTTCCGAAGTCTCATTCGTCATCTTCAGGCTGGTGTTCTCGGCTTTGTGCTTCCAGGAGCAATGTGAGATCGCAGCTGTCTCTTCCTTTTAACTGCTAGTGGGGGTGTGAGCTGATTGGGTGGGAACTTGGCTGTGTTCTGATTGGGTGGAGGTGTGTTCTGATTGGTTAGGGGCTTGGCTGTGCTCTGATTGGATGGGTTGGTTGTGCTCTGATTGGCTGGGGGTGTGTTCTGTTTGGGTGGGGGCTTGGTTGTGCTCAGCTTAGTCTGAGTTGCAGGGGGATTTGAGCTGGTGAGCTCAAATCAGAATCAGAGCACAGCCAAGCCCCTAACCAATCAGAACACACCTCCACCCAATCAGAACACAGCCAAGTTCCCACCCAATCAGCTCACACCCCCACCAGCAGTTAAAAGGAAGAGACAGCTGCGATCTCACATTGCTCCTGGAAGCACGAAGCCGAGAACACCAGCCTGAAGATGACGAATGAGACTTCGTCGAAACGTCGCCAAGACACCTCCAATTTTACGCGGGAGAAGACCCGAATAACCAAAGACCTACATACAAACACCCGCGAAAACCTGAGAAAACATATATATATATATAGTTCACCGTCCTGAGTCTTTCGGGAGAAGGGCGGTATAGAAATTCAATCAATCAATCAATCAATCAATCAATCAATCAATAAATTGATCTGCCTAATGACTGGCTGGGTGGATGTGGCTAGGTGGTCATATGACTGGGTAGGCCACCTTGTTCTCTGCCATCCCCTTCTTCTTCTTTTGCCCTCCATTGTTCCCAGCATTAGGCTCTTCTCCAGTGAGTCCTTCCTTCTCATTAGGTGGCCAAAGTATTAGGTGGCCATGCTCCTTACACAACCAATCATGCTCTCCCACCTGTGTTCCTTCAGGTGTGACAGAGGTTACGGAGGGCCTTACTGTGTGCCTACTGTTCCTCTCCCAAGTGTGCTAAAGGATGACTTCAATGGCAACCTTCATCCAGACCTTTGGCCTGAAGTCTACGGAGCTGAGAGAGGAAACCTGAACGGTGACACCATCAAATCCGGAACCAGCCTCATCTTCAAAGGGGTTAGGAGTGGTGGACGCTCAAATGTTACTTCATTCTCAATTGTCCTTCTCTTTTTTTCTGTGGTTTTGTTTTACAAAAGCCAATTACAATTATTATTATTTTTCATTGGCTTTCTTCATACCTTCTATGTCTCTTTATTCAACTGTCCTGTGTGAAATTCATTTAGGAGAGAGCGAGACCATTTGCAAGCAACCCCAAATGTACTTAATTGAGATGATTAGGTTCCTAGGAAGGGATCATTATTTTCTAATTTATTTATTTGTTGGACGGCACGGCTCATTTGAAACCCATTCGCATTAGAGGACAGGATCCCCGTGGGGACTTTATGATTAAACACAGGAAGTTTTAAATAATTCCCAAGTGACCTCAGACGCGGCAATGGGTCATGGTTGAAGAAGTTGGATCTGATCTTAATTCTGCTGGTGTCTTTTCAACTTTCCACCCAAAGGTGTTGGGCTTCAAAAATGTTTAGCAAGGGGTTCTCTGCCCAGTTGCTGAGTGGGCGTGGCCATGGTGGGTGTGGCCTAGTCAGCCTCTTGCACAATGGCCGGGGGGGCATTTTTGTCCTCCCCGGGCTCCGGAGGCTTTCTTCGAGCCTCCGGGAGGGTGAAAATGGCCTCCCCAGGCTCCGGAGGCCCTTTGGAGGCCGGAAACAGGCCCATTTCCAGCCTTCCCAAACTTCCGGTAGGCCCATTTTTCGCCCTCACTGAGCCTCCGTGTGTGCCCTGCACTTACCTGCGCCCAAAATGGGCCGTGTGGAAGCTACTGTCTTTGGAGATTCTCAGTCATCCAAGCAACCAAAGATGCTTTTTCAAGAGGCAACTGAATTTTTGGGTTTTTCTTTGAAGACGTTTCGCTTCTCATCCAGGAAGCTTCTTCAGCTCTGACTTCCATTCCCCATCATCCAGTCTCTCTCTGTCTCTGTCTCTTCCTCCCACCCTCTTCCTCCCTCTTCCCTCCCTCTCCCTCCCGCTCCCTCTTCCTCTCCCTCCCTCTCCCTCCCACTCCCTCTTCCTCTCCCTCCCTCTCTCTCTCTCCCTCTCCCTCCCGCTCCCTCTCCTTCTCCCTCCCTCTCTCTCTCTCCCTCCCTCTTCCTCCCTCCCTCTCTCTCTCCCTCTCCCTCCTTCTCTCTCTCCCTCTCCCTCCCGCTCCCTCTCCTCCCTCCCTCTTCCTCCCTCCCTCTCTCTCCCTCTCCCTCTCCCACTCCCTCTTCCTCTCCCTCCCCCTCTCTCTCTCTCCCTCTCCCTCCCTCCCTTTTCCTCCTTCTCTCTCTTTCTCTCCCTTTTTGAAAAAATATCAACAAAAAGAAGTGTATAGGCCTGCAAGGACACAGATTCCCTCCCTTAGCTGCTGCCTACTGCCATACCCCCCAAATAATGGGAAATTATTAAACTGGTCACTTCACTGTTCACCCTAGTTCCAAATCATTATATAGCATTACTTTAGTAGTTTTGAAGAAGGGTTTTAAAAGAAAGTACTGGACTTGCTTAGCAGAAAAGATGTTATTTAACTCCATGAAAAGTAGTAATACTACCTATTTTCCCTATACAGGAAGGGCTGAGGATGCTCGTTTCAAGGGATTTAGACTGTACAAATACAATGTACATTCAGTTTTCGTTCAGATTTTTAGCCAAAGGTAAGTATTTTAAAGAAATATTTTTGGAGTTCCGTTTACCGCTGCATAACAAAAGTTGTTCTCCTTTAGCCAGTTTTGATGGTTGCTCCCTGCAGTTTTCCTACCAGGATTTTTCAGAAACGGTTTGCTAAAGAACTAGCTCCCGAAGTGGTGCGAACCGGCTGAATCCCATCACTGATATAATCCTTGCTGAGTCCAAAAGTGAAGTTACTTCACAAGCAACCCATTGTGACTCAGAACTAAGACACAGAGGCAGTGACCTAATGAAGCTAGAAAGATGTTACTTGTGTTGTAATACCTCCAAACTGTAGTATGTTCCCCAGAAATCCGTGGGGATTAATACTAAATTTCATACTTATTTATACTAACATATATGCCAGTGATGGCTAACCTTTTTGTTGTCCAGTGCCAAAAGCACCCATTAAGCAATGTGTGCGCGACCCTCCGTGACCCCTGCGTGCACTCTGCTTTCCGTGCATGTGCACCAGAGGTGGGTTTCAGCAGGTTCTGACCAGTTCTGGAGAACCGGTAGCAGAAATTTTGAGTAGTTCAGAGAACCGGTAGTAAAAATTCTTGACTGGCCCCGCCCCCATCTATTCTCTGCCTCCCGAGTCCCAGCTGATCAGGAAGAAATGGGGATTTTGCAGTAACCTTTCCCTGGAGGGGGAGGGAATGGAGATTTTACAGTATCTTCCCCTGGAGTTGGGTGGGAATGGAGATTTTACAGTATCCTTCCCCTGCCATGCCCACCAAGCCACGCCCACCAAACCATGCCACGCCCACCAAGCCACACCCACAGAACCGGTAGTAAAAAATTTTGAAACCCACCACTGATGTCCGCACGACAAGCCTCTCCATGCTCCCCCAACCCCCATTCATGCGCGCTTGATTCCCTGCATGCACCCCACCCCCCATGCAACCCCACGCATGCACACAAGACCCCCTGTGCGCCCCCGTGCATGCACATGCATCTCCCACGTGCGTCTTGCCCCTACCCATGCGCAGCAGAGACCAGAAAACCAGCTGGCCAGTGGGAGGCCCATGCGCATGCATAGTGGAGCTGAGCTGGTGCGACGGCTCTCATGCCCTCAGAGAGGGCTTGGAGTGCCACCTGTGGCACGTGTGCCATAGGTTTGCCATCACAGTACTATACTGTTAACTTGGCATTAAATCACAGACTCCAAAAGACTCTTTGGCAGAAGAAACTCAGAAATGGCTCAACTCTTCGTTGCAGACAAGAATGAGCCCCTATCCGAATATTTGTCTTCTGCAAGATAAAACTATCAAAGCCTCTTAGTTAGTTAGGTCTGTGCTCTGGAGTTTAAACTCCGGAACTTTTTCTTCCCAACTCTTTGAATTCATGGATCCTTGGCAATTTGACTTTCTCAAATTTAGATTCTCGCTTGAGAATTACTAATTTCTGCCTTCCTAGATTTAGCTCTTAACAGAACCTGGCATCAGTTAATCCAAACTGTTTTGCTTCTTTGGGATTTCATCTTATCGTAAAACTTTTGCCTGAATCTGTAGTTTAAACAGAAAATTGTCTCACCCCAAGGCTACAACAGGCTTGCTGATTTTCGATAGGCAAAATTCCTCTTTGTGGGGGAAAAAAGGGGGGTTCCAGACTCCATATCTTTGAACAGAACAATATTTAACATTATGTCATATTTTGGGGGGGGAAATTCTGACATACGGAGTACTTTAAGGTACAGAAAACAAAAAGATGGCTGCTTCTATTAATGCAGATTCTTTTATTAATGCAAAAATAGTCTATCTCCCTCCATATATACCAATAACTTGTACCATCCTCAAAAAATAAGCCAAAAATGTCAGAATTTGTTGCATTTTAAAACCTGTGTTGTATTATTGACCACTATAAAAAGCCAACACAGTTCTAGGTTGCATAAACAGAGGGATAGAATCAAGATCACGTGAAGTGTTAATACCACTTTATCATGCCTTGGTAAGGCCACACTTGGAATACGGCATCCAGTTTTGGTCACCACGATGAAAAAAAGATGTGGAGACTCTCGAAAGAGTGCAGAGAAGAGCAACAAAGAGGATGAGGGGACTGGAGGCTAAAACATGAAGAATAGTTGCAGGAACTGGGCATGGCTAGTTTAATGAAAGGAAGGACTAGGGGAGACATGATAGCAGTCTTCCAGTATCTCAGGGGCTGCCACAAAGAGTCAAGCTATTCTCCAAAGAACCTGAGGGTAGGATAAGAAGCAATGGGTGGAAACTAATCAAGGAGAGAAGCAACTTAGAACTAAGGAGAAATTTCCTGACAGTGAGAACGATTAATCAGTGGAACAACTTGCCTCCAGAAGTTGTGGATGCTCCAACACTGGAAGTTTTTAAGAAGATGTTGGATAGCCATTTGTCTGAAGTGGTATAAGATTTCCTGCCTAGGCAGGGGGTTGGACTAGAAGACCTCCAAGGTCCCTTCAAACTTTGTTATTTTAAATTCTAAATTCATATAAAGACTATTTTAAAAAACTAAATCAACTTGATTTCATAGTTCGACACCAAGGTAAGCTTCCGTAATTGATTCATCTTGTCACTGTTGTCAATGACGACGTCAATGACGACGTCTTCTCTTATGTTTCAGGTACCCCGGAGAGATCTCATTCTATATTGCTCCAGTATTCCGTCAACGGAGGAATCACGTGGCATCTGATAGATGAGTTTTACTTCACCCAAACAACTGATGTCCTTTTCATTAACATCCCGCTGCCGTATTCAGCGCGAAACAGTGCTACCCGTTTCAGGATCTGGCAACCCTACAACAACGGTATAGAACGAAGGATCTAAATTTTGATGGCTTTGAGATACAGCAGAGGTGTCAAACTCAAGGCCCGCGGACTGGATCTGGATTACGGGGTGCTTAAATCTGACCCACAGGGAAAAAGCAAAAGACCAGCCTGCGGCACCAGGTTTAACCAGCAAAGTGCTGCAGGAGGCCATCCAGGCTGAAAACGGGACACATCCCCCCCTACACCCCATTTTGGATGGCAGGGTGATGCAGGAGGCATCTATTCCATCTCCCCCTCCTGGCCGGCCCACTGAGGAGAACTACAATGCTGATCTGGCCCTCAACGAAATTCAGTTTGACACCCCTGAAATACAGGCAGTCTTGCGACCGGTTGCTTAGCAACCAAAGTTACAACCGAACTGAAAACAGGGGATTTACGATCCAGGTTCAAAGTTCTGACTGTCAGGGGCCTGTTTCATGGTCACATGACTGAACCTTGGTTGCTCAGCAACAGGGTCGCATTGACAGCCATTTGCAGAGTCATGTGATCACATGTCTACGTTTTATGACACTTGTCGAAAACCGGTACTTATTTCCAGTTTTTGGCAAAACCGCGCCTTGGTGAACCATTGGCTCACCTGACAACTACGGTGCTCAGTTAATGACAATCATGGTGATTCACTTAACAACCGCTGCATAAAAGGTTTTAAAATCGACTGTTATGGCATATGACTGTGATGGGCAGGCTCCATTACCGTCATATGTTGAGGATTCCCGGCACATTATGATTCAATTTGAGCAGCAAGCAAAATTCAGTGGCATGTTCTTAATGACAAACTCAATGTGCTTGAGCTAATGTTTATTTATTTATTTATTTATTGGTTTGATTTATATGCCGCCCTTCTCTGGAGACTCAGGGCGGCTTACAATGCGTTAAGCAATAGCCTTCATACTTTTGTATATACCTGCTTAGTACGGCTTTCGGTCCCCCCAAGCGGTGTTCTTTTTTATACAAAGTCAGCTTATTGCCCCCCACAATCCGGGTCCTCATTTTACCTACCTCGAAAGGATGGAAGACTGAGTCAACCTGGAGCCTGGTGAGATTCGAACTTGCAGTAATTGCAGGCAACTGGTGCTACTTAACAGAACTTTAGTCTGCTGCGCCACCAAGGCTCTTAATGTTCCCAATAGAAAGGCATCAATTAAAGTTATCTCTTCATGTCAACCTATCATTATTAAGTTTATGATTTGGAATTTACACATGAAAATATTACTAATCTTAATAACTTCTTAAAGTATTTTTAGGAAGAACTTTAGTGGCAACTAATTAACTATTCCATTGCATGCAATTATTTTAGAGTGGTTTCTAACGACTAGACCAGTCGTTATCAGGATTTTATTTATTTTTTTTGCTTTTCCTAGGTAAGAAGGAAGAGATTTGGATTATAGATGACTTCATTATTGATGGAAATAATCTGAAAAATCCTGTGATCCTTTCGGATACCTTTGACTTGGGCCCAAAGGAAGACAACTGGTTTTTCTACCCTGGTGGCAACATTGGACTTTATTGTCCATATTCATCCAAAGGAGCGCCGTATGTATTAAAATAAAAACATGAGTATGCATAGTGATATGTAGGAGTAGAGTGGAATGGAATAGGAATAGTAATAGTAATAAGAATTCTATTGTGGAGTGGAATGGAATGGAATACGATAGGATAGGATAGGATAGGATAGGATAGGATAGGATAGGATAGGATAGGATAG